CCTCTTGCAAATTGGATGCTGCTTTAAATGTGAAAACAAATGTTCAAGAAGCTATAAAAAAAAAAAAAACCTGAATGAAAGCTAAAGCTGAATTTATAAAGCCTTGTTGCATATGAGCCAAAAGTGCAAAAAGCTCTATATAATGAACTAACCTGCCACTCATATAAATATAAATATATATAAATATATTAAAATCAGACTGTTCTACAAAATTGTGTATTTGTATTTTTGTGTACGTACAATTTTCTGCTAAGCAGAAGGAGGATGTAGTATAGGATGATGTGAGAAGAGATTTTTTTGTTTAATCATATTTCTTTGTTACTTATTTTTGTTAACATCCAGATGCCTGTCTTTGTCTTCTGTGTATGACACTGTTCCAAAGGTGCAGTATCTCTCTCCCGCCCGCGCGTCCAACCCCCTCCTGCCCTGAAAGAGCCGGGTGATGATGCCACCCATCATCCTCAAACCCTGCAGATACCAGTCTTGATCTTAACGAGGGCTGCTCGTTCAGCTTCAAGACTATTATCTATTTCACCCTGGCATTTAACGGGCTCGTTGTGTCGTTACTCCTAATATTAATGTCAGATAGTCATGTGCTGGTTGATTGCTTTCCATGTAGGTGTTCTCCAAGCGCGGTGTCTACACCATCCACCACCTGTAGTATCTTTGTTCAGGTCCTCAGCCTGAATTTTTTTTGGGGGGAAGTAATGAAGTAGTGTAGATCGGGAGGGAGGATGAACAGATCCTTGTGTTGCAGTTGCTTAGGGGAAGAAAAGCAGCCAGGGAAGCTTTTCCATGTATCACAGAGGAGGGAATCTCAGGTAACACCACCACGGAGGAAGATGAAGGTGCCACAGGAAGCTGGTGTTGCCCACAGCTGCCTGTACCCTGCCAAAGTCTATTTTGGCTTTCAGGAAGGCAAGTTGGCAAGGTAATGGGTTGTAGCTTTCCCTTCCATCCCAGCAGCAGCATGCAAGCTGTGCCCATCTCTGGTGGCTTTGTGACAGTTTGGTCCATTGCTGTAAGAACACTTGTTTGAGGAGGTCCATGTTCTCATGGCTTGATGCCCTTGCAGTATAAATACTGATTTTTGAGAAGAATCTTCTAAAGTCTTCTCCAAAGCACTGCATTTATCTGCAAGGTGCCAGGTGTGTCTGCTCTCTCCATCCTTTGCCACCTGGAGAAGAGTCAGGGTGTTCCTCCCTTGGTGCAGCTGGGAGTTGTTAGTTAGTGGGGTGGGGAACCACCCAGGGAGAGAGGGGACAAAGGAGAAGTAGAAAAACCAGGATGTGGTGGAAACTCTAAGGCAAAGCTTCGGGCAGGAGGTGGTGGATGTTCACCTTCTGGTTCCACCACAGACCCTTGAGGAGAACTGGTCCTTTCTGTGCCCTTCAGCTGCCCGTCTCCAAAATCCAGGTGAGCATTGATGCCCTCACCCCTTCCTCAGGCGGCAGGTACCGCGACACAGTCAGGTGTCAGCTTCTTCCCCTGCGTCCTTTGTGCTCTTTCTTTTTCTTTTTGTTTGGTTTTGGGTTGTTTTGGGTTTTTTTTTCTTCTTTTAAATTTAATTTCTAACATTGTTTGAACTGAATTCTAGCCCAGGGAGAGCGATACTGCATCTTTACATGTAGGGCTCATATTTATAACAATGTGTAATGACTGTAGCAAAAGTCCTTGTTTCTATATGTGAATGGACAGAGAAACAAGTGCTCTATTGTATTGATTAAAATAGTTAAAATGAGTCCTGTATCATTGTATCTCCTATTCTGGATTAGTGCCTTTTGGACAGTAGACTGTTCTGTAATTAAAATGTAGTATAACTGCTTTTTTGTACAGTTTTGTTTTAATAAAACTTTTTTTTAATTTGTGTTTATTTTAGTATTGTACCTATTAGAAAATAAAAATGTATAACTCAACAACGCTGCGGTTCTTCTCTAGTCCTTTGTGTGCAAAGCCCGTGGGAGGCCTCGGACGCGTGTTGGGACCTAAAATGTGGCTTCAGAACTTCGTGAGCGTGGAAAAATGAAGGTGTGTGAGGAAGATGTGGGTCTGTGCCTGGTTGGTTGTGTGGGGCTGGTCTCCAGGAGGGAGGAAGGTGATGGATGTGATGGTGGTACGTTGGGTTTGGTGGCATCACCTTGGAGTCTGAGCCAGGGGTGGAGACCAGAGTCCTTTCGGGGGGTCTTTCATAGAATCTTAGAATGGTTTGGGGTGGAAGGGACCTTAAAGATCATCCAGTTCCACCCCCCTGCACATCTAACCCCCCCATCTTCACCTTCCAGATCTGCTGTGTGAGCTGAGGGGGGGTTCTCCTTGAGGGGAACAGGCTGGGCACAGGGGACCAAACCCCCAGGGGACGTGGGGGCTGTCACCACCCCCCCCAGCCCTGCTGCCTCCTGCCTTTTGAAGGGAAACCATAAAACCAGGGCGGTGCTGTAAATCAGGGCTGGCCCAGCGGCCGGGAGTGAAGACTGAGCCCCCAAACCTGGTGGCTTTCGACCGTTTGTCTCTTTGGGTTTTGCTTCTTTACAAGTTCATCCCCAACAGGCTTTGTTCTAATGATCAGGAATTAGAAGGACCCACAAGATCAGCTCAGATGACCCACGGGACCAGCTTGGCCATTCTGGAGGAGTTGGTAACACCATCAGGGCCAGCGTGTGCCCCAGATCTTCCAGCTCAGATGACCCACGGGACCAGCTTGGCCATTCTGGAGGAGTTGGTAACACGGTCAGGGCCAGCGTGTGCCCCAGATCTTTTTTTTTTGGAGAGCAGAGGCAGGAGCGGTGGGGACAAGGCCTTTCCCAGCCTCACTGGGTGCACTGGGAGCCCCTTCCCCAGGAGAGCGGCCCCTGCTGAGCCTGAAGGACAAAGTTCTCTCCCTGTGTCACAGATCAAGAGGAATGCAGAAAAGAGATTTTTTTTTTTAAAAGACGCACCCACCAGAGGCCTCTGCTTTGCAAACAAACTCTGCTTCCAGCCCGTTTTCTGCTTTTTAATGATTTTTTTCCCCTAGGGAACCAGATGATCAGGATCACATCCTTTGAAAAAGAACCACAGGAAAAACCCACATGAATTTACCACCTTGGTGTCCAAAGGTGAGTAACAAGTCCCCTCATGGATGTGCACAGCTCGTGGCAGAGCATCTCCTCATATGGGCCCTGGAGATGCTGGGAGGGCTGGAGCCCCTCTGCTGGGAGGGGGGGCTGAGAGAGTTGGGGGGTTCAGCCTGGAGAAGAGAAGGCTCCAGGGAGACCTTGGAGCCCCTGCCAGTCCCTAAAGAAGGGGGGCTCCAGGAAAGCTGGGGAGGGACTCTGGATGAGGGAGGGGAGCCCTAGGAGGAGGGGAAAGGGTTGGACACTGAAAGAGGGGAGATGGAGATGAGATATCAGGAAGAAGATCTTGATGGTTGGACTAAATGATGGTTGGACTAGATGACCTTAAAGGTCCCTTCAAACCTAGATGATTGTATCATTCTATTATTCTAGATGAGGGAGGGGAGCCCTAGGAGGAGGGGAAAGGGTTGGACACTGAAAGAGGGGAGATGGAGATGAGATATCAGGAAGAAGATCTTGATGGTTGGACTAAATGATGGTTGGACTAGATGACTTTAAAGGTCCCTTCAAACCTAGATGATTGTATGATTCTATTATTCTAAAAAATTCTTTGCTGTGAGGGTGGTGAGAGCCTGGCCCAGGTTGCCCAGAGAAGCTGTGGCTGCCCCATCCCTGGAGGGGTTCAAGGGCAGGTTGGAGGGGGCTTGGAGCAACCTGGTGTGGTGGGAGGTGTCCCTGCCCAGGGCAGGGGGTGGCACTGGGTGGTTTTTAAGGTTCCTTCCATCTCTAATCATTCTATAATGCTATGGCTCAGCCAAGGTGAAGCCAGAAGCCCCCCCTGTGCCCCCTCCCCGCACTCACTTCCCTCCCATGGCTGCTCCCCCAAAATCGAGCAGCTCTGGTGCCTTCACCACTTGCCCATCGTGGCAAAGAACTTGAAGGCGGGAGAGGAACAGTGACAGTGGTATTAAATTGAAGGAAAGGAAGGGAGAAAAGGTGTGCTTTGTGCTTTGGGGTTTTTTGTGTGGTGGTGGTGGTTGTTTTTTTTTTTCCCCTGCTCCTTTTGATCGGTGCCTTTTAACACCCGCTTTGGCTGGAGAACAGACGCGGAACGTGGCGCGGGGAAGGGGCTACAACCACCTTCCGGGAAGAGCGAGGTTTGAACAAAGTAACGGGACTTCAAAAGGCTCCTGTGTTTCAGCCAAAGATTTTTTTTTTTTTTTTCAGAAGGTAAAACATTAAAGGGAAGGGGCTTTTTTAAAAAAAAAAAAAAAAAAAGCAGCTGTATTTTCGTGCGCTGATTGCGAGACAACACCGATAAAAATATCCTTTGCTCAACGACTTGCAGCAGGGATTGTGGAATCAACACAGCATTTGTTGCTTAAAAAAAAAATAGAGAAACAAAACAATCCTCCAAAATAAAAAAAAAAAGCCAGTCAAACCTTGCCAGTTGTTCTCAACTAGAAGCCCTGTTTGGGAGAGAAAGAAGAAAAGAGAAAGAAAATAAGGTGATTGAGGGAGGGAGTTTCAAGGACATCTTGCTGCAGTGGCTCAGGGCAGGGTTGGCAGCAACAACCCCTGGTCCTGTCTGAAGCTCAGCAGCTGGAGAGCACGGGGGGAGCTCAAACACACCTTCTTCTGCTTTTATTTAGCGTAATGGCAGGAAAAATGAGTATTAAAGCTTCAGCACAGCTCTGAGGACCCGTAGTCTGTGACAATCCCACACTGAACGGCTGCAGGCAAAGGGCTCTTTGCCCCGGCATCGAAGAGGAAGGAGGATGGATGGAAGGTAAAGCCCTTGGTTTCCACTCATCGATGGGAAGGTCCCCAAATTGCTGGCAAAAGTCTCGTTTGAAGCAGATGTTGGCACCATGGAGTGAGGTGACTCCAGCGCCGGCTGGGAACACTCCTCAACCTCCTGGTGAGACCAGCGAAGCACAGACTGACCCGGCTCTAAAGAAGACGTTTATTTAGGTACTGCAGGCTGCACGGCATGTATAATACAATATTACAGTCATTTAGTATTGTACAGAAATAATTAAAAACTTTACAGCTCATTACAAAGTATCATCTTTGGATTTTTAGCTCATTTAAAGGACGCCGACGGACACGGAGCAGGGTAAAGAGCCACTCTTTATATACAGACCCACGACATTTACAGACACCAACAGAGGGACGAGCTGGGAAAGGCTTTTCCAAGGCACAGGGGGGGACATGGGGGGTGGTGGAGGAGCCACCGGGGGCTGTGACGATGCTGCGGGGAGGTGGCACCGAGGACAAGGGAGGGCTGAAGGGAGGTGGGAAGGAGCTGCTTCACCCCCTGCCCCTTATTGCTCGGGAGCTGAGCTTCTCCATCAGCTTCAGGATGAGTTTGGCAGGGGAAGGTGAGGGGGAGAGCAGCTGCCTTCTCCTGCCAAACAAAGGGGGAACATCTCTTAACACATCCCTCCTGCCTGCACCGCGGCATCTCCTCCCTCTCCCTGGGTTTAAGGAGCTCCCAGCCACGTCCCCGCTCTCTCTTGGGTGCCAGAGAGAGGACCAGGCTGTGCCAGGAGGCTCCAACACCCCCAAACCCAGCCAAGAGCAGCAGCCCAGATTTCTTAGGGGGTGAAAAACACAGCGGGGGCATGGGAGGAGGGTGGAGAGCACAGAAACCAAAGATGGAGAAAGGAGATGGAGGAACAAGACACTTGTTGGTGACCCCCAGCTCAGGAGTATTTTGTAGTGTGACCCCTCTGAACCTATTCACTTCTCACAAACTTGAACACAAGAAGGTCCATCTCAACATGAGGAGGAACTTCTTTCCTGTGAGGGTGGCAGAGCCCTGGCAGAGGCTGCCCAGAGAGGTGGTGGAGTCTCCTTCTCTGGAGACATTCAAACCCACCTGGACACGTTCCTGTGGGACCTGCTCTGGGTGGACCTGCTCTGGCAGGGGGGTGGAGGAGATGATCTCCAGAGGTCCCTTCCAACCCCATGTGATTCTCACCATCTTTCCAACAAGCCTGGAGGCTGGGTGAGATCCAGCCCTGGCTCCACCTGTCACTGACCCAGGGATAAGGCACTGCGGACATGGAACTTGTTGTGCAAAGAGCTGGCAGCACCAGCGTAAGGACAACATGAGCACCAGCACAGAAAAGACTCCTCAACAGCTCCACAACAGTACAAACAGGTCTGTACAACACCCACGCTCGTTTCATACAGGTTTTCACGACTGATAGGCAGGATTTGGGGGGGGGTTCTTGGTTGGTAGGAGGGCAAAGAGGTGTTGAACACCCAGCAGTGGTGAGCTTCCACCTCAACCACTGACAAAAGACAGGGTTGGATGGAACTGGATGATCTTTAAGGTCCTCTAGCTCCACCTGTCACTGACCCAGGGATAAGGCACTGCGGACATGGAACTTGTTGTGCAAAGAGCTGGCAGCACCAGCGTAAGGACAACATGAGCACCAGCACAGAAAAGACTCCTCAACAGCTCCACAACAGTACAAACAGGTCTGTACAACACCCACGCTCGTTTCATACAGGTTTTCACGACTGATAGGCAGGATTTGGGGGGGGGTTCTTGGTTGGTAGGAGGGCAAAGAGGTGTTGAACACCCAGCAGTGGTGAGCTTCCACCTCAACCACTGACAAAAGACAGGGTTGGATGGAACTGGATGATCTTTAAGGTCCTCTCCAAACCAAACCATTCTGTGATTCTATGAAACCTCTCTTCTGAAGGACTCAGGCAGTACTGCCACGCAGAACTCATTTCTATCAGTTTTCCTCAACTAAATTACATCATTAAACAGGAAAGCATCAAGGTCCTCGGACTGAAAAGGAATGACTTTGGACACAGAGATCCAAACCCCCCAAAAGTCCCTCCAAAGAACATCATCGTTTTGGCTGGCCAGCAGCAAAGGACACCACGGCTCAGAACCCACACCCCTGTGTAGCTGTGGACACGGGCTGGGAACCCTACAATTCCCATCCAACAACACAACCATCTACATCCAAAATCCCAGACCCAGCCATGGCTCGGGGGTATGGAAAGCAAACCTGCAGCACCAGCAGACACGGGAGCCGAGACACGCGCTACGAACGACAGTTCCTGCAGGAAATATTCTTCTTCCCTGTATAAAGTGCATGAAAAATCTTGGAAAATATGCATAGCTATTAACCCAGCCTCGGCTGCTGGGCGGTTCCAGTTAAGAGCACCTCCTCCTCTGTGGCAAGAGTAGAGTTTTTCTGAAATTATCAATAAAAAAAAGATATATATATATATGTATATAACCTTCGTTATGATTTTAAACTGTTTTCTGGTTAGTTGGCTTAGCTGGTGCAGAGTGACAGGTGGCTTTGAGTAGAAGGATGTGCCAAAACATTGGAAAATATCTTTAGAAGAAAGCCCAGGAGAGCCGGGGTGAGCAGGAGGGAATCAGAGAAATCCTCTAGGAATGTCCGTGGGGCTGACTCGGATTTGTTTGGCCTTCCAGGACAATCTGTCCCAGAGGAGGCAGCGAGCACGTTCTGTTCAGCCCGTGTTTCACAGCCCTGTGAACACACACAGTGATGGTTTCTAACACAACCCGGGGCAGGTGGGAGAGGGAATTCACCCCAAATCCATCGGCTGCAGCCTCCGACCTCGTGCTCCAGACGTGCAAACACTGAAATGCCTCCTTAAGTATTTCAGAGCCACAGCACAAATCCGGGCAGAGGAATTTATAGCTGGCCACATAAAGAGTGAATGATCAACCCAACTGCTCTGCTCGACCCCGTCACTCCTGCGACTTCCCTCCCTGTACCTTGGTGCTGCAGAATTCCAGCCTTCAGAGACAGCAGCCTGGGAAAAGAGGCTTCAAAAAGAACTCAGGCAGGTCCTTCCCTTCGTATCTCCCCCCAAAGGGGCCACCAAGCAAACAGCAAGAAGTTCTAAAGATCTCCCCAAATCCAGTAAATGAAATGCTGAGACTGAAAAACCACCACCACGACGGGTCCGGGGGCTGTTTCACGTCAGGGAACTCTCCGCAGCACAACAGAACAAAGTGCAATTAGGAAAAAAATAAAACAAAACAAAACAAAAACGGTAAAGATGGATTTTAGAAAATTTACAAGGCAGTTTCAGAGGCATTGTATTAATTAGCGGATGGTCTTTCATCAGCGAGACTCGTCACACTCCAAAATGAAATGTCATTTTGTTGTGTGAGTCGCGTCTAATAAAAGAGTTACAATTTTTAAAATTGAGGATTCTCACCTCTGAATTCTTTCATTATTAAATTTCTCCCATCGTCTCGGCTTGAATGGACGGGAGCTTCGTGCAAAGGAAAAAGAGGAAAAACTGTACACTAAAAATATCTTTAAAAGCTGGTCTGTACATTTTATATTAAGATTTGTTTAAGAAAAAAACGTAGGAAACAGTGAAAGTAGTTACACAAAGGTGAAAGGATACACGAGTCCCTGGCAGTACTAAGCGTGCTGCCTCGTAACCCGTCCCACTTATTGCTGCTACAGATTAGTTTCTATTTTAATTTTATTCCTTCTGCATAAATGATATTAATTACAGTAAATCAGCATAATCATCTCCTCTGCTAAGCATCCCTCTCTCCTTTGATGACAATGTGTCTTTCCCTTGGACCTCTGAAGCAGACGGCTAAGGCACTTAGATACCCACCTGCAGCATGGGCAGCGGCCACTAGATACGTATTAAAAGATCAATCATTAATTCAGCATCCCAAATATTATTCCCCAGGTAGATAAAAACGCCTCTGGCTCGAGCTGTCCAGTCCCCAGCTCAGAATATAAAACTCTTGTGCCTTTGATTTGTTAGCAGTGGGGGGTGTGCGTACGTGGACATGCACACGTAGGTAGAATTTGTGCCACGGGCAGTTAAAAACTAGCAAGGGTTACCAAAAAAAAAAAATAAAAAAAATCAAGTTTTCTAAAAGCCAGCCCCAAACCTCCCACTCTGAAAGGAGAGAGGGGTTTTTGGGGAGGAACTCGGCTGTTTTGCTTTGGCGATGGAGGCACCTCCTCTTTGGATGGGGGCGCGAGGGGAGCTCCTCTCTGCCACCTCGGGTGGTGGATGATTGTAAAGCGCAAACATTTCATCTTTTAAAATAATAAATAAAGAATAAATAGACCGGATTCGTCCCGTCCCAAGGACGGCCACCCTTGGCTTTGCATAGCTGGTAAAAAAATCCAAGCATCTCCCAAGGCTGGGGGGGAACGTCGCGGCACAAAAGTGCTGGTCTCTCTGCAAACCCCACCTTGGCTCAAAGGACAGAAAGAAGGTCCTGTCACTTCGGGGCAAGCGAGAGAAGGGAACCTGCCATGGTGAGAGGGCACGTTAAACACATTACAGACAGCAAATTCGCTCAATTCCCCTCTTTCCTGAAAAAAAAAAAGGGTCAAAATTATCCCAGAGCGGGTCATGGGCCCTCTGCTGTTCCCAACAAATCAGCTGGAAAGATTGTGCTGATTTCCATAGGAGAGAGGGACAACAGGACAGTAATCAAAACAGGCACTGGTCCCATTTATTTTTAAATAAAGGGTTTTGGGGGTACTTTGATTCAAAATGAAGTTTTACGTTTGCCTCTCTACCTGTCTGGAATTGTTATAACCTTGCCCTTTCACCATGTACTACGCGATATGGACACAGCTCTTATGAAATTAAAAAAGAACCGTTATTTTTGAGGAGGATTTTTTTCAAGAATTGCCAGTGAGCAGGTAGTATTTTGGAGCTATTGGAAAACCATGCCATAATTTGAACAATTTCCACGTCCCTCCCATCTCTGGAAGGTGAAGGGAGCAGAGCTCACACCTGCTGGTTGCCATCAGCCATACCCTGACGCCTCCCAACTTGTAACAGGAAATGAAGGACACAGCTCCAGCACCGTGACAAGGCAAGGAATTAACATGTCAATCACCCAAAGCAGAGAAGAAACCCCCTTCATTAGTGTTGGCCACATACGAGACCTTCCTGTGGTCGGTTCAGCCTCCCGAAGGCAGAAGAACCTTGCTCTCCCCTGGATCTCTTGGGCGGCGTTTGCTGGGGAAAGGGCCATCTCAGTTTGCCCAGGATTTCCTGTTCTCCACGTTCTTCTGGCTCTGGCTCTTCTCTGGTCGTAGCGTGGATCCTCCTTCTGATTTCGCCAGGGCCGTGAGCGATGCCAGGTTGGAGGTTGAGCCGGAGAAGTTGCCGCTCCTCCTGTTCTCGGTGGTGGCTCCTCCTTGTAGCCTCAGCCCGGTGCTTCGCCGTCTCGCCGGCCCCGTGGCCTTCTTGACTCTGCCCGGTTTCACCAGCAAACCGTAGCCCGGGTTGCACCTGAAATACTGCTTCCCTCCGATGGACCCGTCGTTCTTACCTTGAACCAGAAGAGAAAGAAAAGACAATGGGCAAAACTGGCTTTTATCGAGTGCATCGGTGGTGCTACTGGGAGGACACTGGAAGAAGAACATTCTGGGATGGAAGATGAGTGGTCCCTGTCAATACACCGTGAAGGTGAACACCAGGGAGGAGAGAGCTCGATATGGACATAAGGTGTAACATCAGCAAGTTTGCAGATGACACCAAGTTAAGCAGGAGTGTTGACTCCCAGGAGGATAGGGAAGTTTTGCAAGAGGATCTAGATAGATTGGATCACTGGGCCAATGCCAATGGAATGAGTTTCAACAAGGGCACCACCTCCATTGTAAGAAGCCAAGAAAATAACTGAAAAGGGAGACAATTCCATCAGAGGTCAGTGAGACCAGGTCGACAAAGGCAGACTGGAAAAAGATCACAGAATCACAGAATCTTCTAGGTTGGAAGGGACCTCAAAGATCATCTTGTCCAACCGTCAACCCAACTGACAAAAATAGACACCCGCACAACAAACAAGAAGCATCACCATCACTAAACCATACCTCCCAGCACTACATCAACCTGTCTTTTGAACATCTCCAGGGATGGGGCCTCAACCACCTCCCTGGGCAGCCCATTCCAATGGCTGATGACCCTTTCAGTGAAAAAATTTTTCCTAATATCCAGCCTGAACCTCCCCTGGAGCAACTTGAGGCCATTTCCTCTCGTCCTGTCGCCTGTGACTTGAGAGAAGAGAACGACCCCCACCTCTCTACACCCTCCTTTCAGGGAGTTGTGGAGAGCAATAAGGTCTCCCCTCAGCCTCCTCTTCTCCAGGCTGAATAACCCCAGCTCCCTCAGCCTCTCCTCATAAGACTTATTCTCCAGACCCCTCACCATCTTTGTTGCCCTTCTCTGGACCCGCTCCAGCACCTCAATGTCTTTTTTATGGTAGGGGGCCCAAAACTGGACACAGTACTCGAGGTGGGGCCTCACCAGTGCCGAGTACAGGGAAGGAGCTTTTATATTCCCCTTCTCAAAACGCACCCAGTAATGGCTAATGAGCCCCCCCTCATCAAAAATGACATTCAAACGAGCACTGCAAACTCTGATGTGCCGTCTGATTTACACCCAGACTAGATCTTACGTTACCTGAAGGTAAATCCAGTTCCACACCAACCCACGTTCCCTCTTGGAAGTCTGTGGGCCCGATGTATCTAACGGTGCCAGTCTTATTTGCGCCAACTGTGACGTATTCTCCCTCTTTCAGCCACTCGGGAATTTCATTGGCATCTTCGGAGTCAGAATTCACCTCCAGCTTTTCTTCTGCCAGCTCTGACCCATTATGGTTCAGTCCACGGGCAGCAGACATGCTCTTCTCTCCTTCCTGCTGCTCTTCTGTGTTGAGAGAACACGGGGGATCTGTCCCCAACATGCTTGTGAAGGACTTCAGCTCTGATGTCTTGACTTTCTGGATTTTGAAAGGGGAGGCTGGGACGCCGGGCTGGGACAACTGGTCAGGATGGATCTGTGGTTTGGGAAACCCCAGTTCCGAAGCTCCAGAAGCCATTTCTTTTTTCCTAGCCAGCCCTGCTGACTCCGTCGATTGCGTGGGTGACGACTCCTTCTTTGGAGTGGAGGTAGAAAGAAAGGGTTTTGCATCGGTGGCCACAGAGGCCTGCTCACTTGGAGTCATGGGAGACGTGCAAGATTTCAATTTCAAAGCATCGTTTCCATTCACTTCAGCGCTGTCTTTAGGTCTCTGAAGGCTGAAGGTGGGCAGGTTCTCTCTCTTAGTACCGAGACAGCTTTCTGAAGAGCTGTCCGAGTGCCCTGGCAAGTCAGAAGAAGAGACCTGAGCCCCAGCAGGAGCTGGGAGGTCACTCGCTGCAGGCGTCTGGCCTCCTGCTTGAGCCACAGCATCACTTCCCGCTGCAAGGGCTTCAGAGAGGGTGGCTGTGGAGACACTGTGAGAGAAGTACCCGCTGGAGGCTTCGCTCAGAGGACTTGGAGGTCCCTCCTGGGAGTCCTGCGCCTGGGTGTCTCCTGTGGGCTGCTGCAAAGGCACTTTGGGGGGCTTTTCTGGACTCTTGTCCACCTCAGGCGTCTGCACCACAGTTTCGAATGGCTGCTTCCCTACTCCCTCTTGATGAATCTGAAACAGAAGAGGACAGGGGCCGTGGAGCTCTGTTATCCAAAATATCTGAGCTAAAAGGATAGATAGGAGGCTTCTGGGCAGTACTAAGGCCTCCAGCTTGTCTAAATCCCTGTGTGGCTGCCATCTCCAGAAGATGTGAGCTGATCTGAAGTCAGCTTTGCAAACCTGGTAGGCTTGTCAGCTCATTTCTTCCATTAATAAGAAAAGCGTCGACTAAAAGAAATACGTTCCCCAATATTTACTGAAAAATTATTTATATTACAGGAATGGTCATTTGCTGTTTGAATAGCAGGATTTATATGAAATGTGAAACAGCCATGATCTATAAGTCTCTCTCAGTTATTTGGCTTAACTCTCAGGATTGATAAATCACGGCTCTCCACCTAAACTGTCATTTATGTCCCTGTTTCCAAATGCCATTCCCACCTCAATGCCGCCAGCACCACACACTCTCAGAGTATGAAATTAACTGCACCTCCTGAGATTAACAGCCCATTTTAGTGATGTATTTCTTGGCTGTAAAGTTTACTAAATCTGATAGATCAATATCTTTTGCCAGCACATGTACTCTAAAAGATTAGGATGTCTCTAAATCTCTTTGGGAGGGAGGGAGGAGGCTGCTAATATGAAGGGGAGGAAAAAACCCAGTGGTTGGAGAACAGCAGATTTGTACATATCCTGGCTTAACTCTCAGGTGTACATTTTTGTTTAGTCTTCAAAATGTTGTGGTTTATCCCATCTAGTGGTTAAGTGTCCCAAACTACAGGATTTTCACCTTATTCTGAAGTGCCTTTCCCACTGGAGATGTAAGCGGCGTTTGAAGAGAGTGGGATTTGATTGAATTACAGGAATTTCAGAACCAAAGGCCAGCTTGCTATTGCTAAGTGAATTGTAATAGAGAAAACTTTTTTTTGAAATATTCCTGCAGATTAAAAACGTATTTTTAGCTTTTCTATGGAGAGGACGGTGCACACGTGTACTCTGGAGCTCTGCTCTTTCTTTGGATTTTTCTGTTTTAAGCGTTCAGATAACACACATTTTGCTAAGACAATAAAGGCACAGTGGGAGAAAGTTGATTTGCTATTCATAAGGCTCAAGTTCTGCTGAACTGTGGGAGATCATAAGGGTCTATTTTCTCTCCAGCTTAGCAAGAGCCTTTTTTTTTTCCACGCCGATATAATGAATTGGCTTGAAATGTAAAATTGAGAATTAAGCTCAACACTCAGAGTAACAGAGAAGTTCTGTTTATAGAAAGCATCAGAGCCCAGCAATTTGCCTTTTAAAGCAGCAAAACAGCTAAATTTTAGCTAGTTTACTGCTAATGCAATCATATGATTAACTGGGCTTTTAAATATAAAAGTGTAAAGCAGTGATAAAAGGGGAGATTTTACCAGGACCTAAGAAAACCCAGCACCACACACTGCACTTAGTTGTCTCACAGTGAAGCGACAGGTTTTCAGCAGCAAACCCAGCAGCTGCTTTTGCCACCTCTGCTTTCCAGGCACGTGGTTATGGAAATTGCATCACCACATCCTGGGATGTTCCTACCTGTTTTATCTTGGCAGCAGTGGCATCAATAACAGCAGACTGGACCATAATTCGTGGGACGGCCTGCAGGAATGAAAAAAAAACCAATCAACCTATACAGAGCATTGTTGACTTAAAGGATTAAATATCGTCAAACTGGTAAATAGTAAAACTTACATTTGAAATTTTGGAATCGCAAACAAACCTTTGCCACGAAAGGACAGAGCATTGCTATTTTATTGCAGTCTGATGACAAGCTCTTGAAGGGGTATCGTGGGACGGCCTGCAGGAATGAAAAAAAAAACAAAAAAAACCTACACATGGCATCGTTGACTTAAAAGATTAAATGTTGTCAAACTGGTAAATAGTAAAACATTTGAAATTTTGGAACCGCAAACAAACCTTTGCCACAAAAGGACAGAGCATTGCTATTTTATTGCATTCTGATGACATGCTGTGAAGGGGTAAGAATCGCAAACAAACCTTTGCCACGAAAGGACAGAGCATTGCTATTTTATTGCAGTCTGATGACAAGCTCTTGAAGGGGTATAAACCTTAACCAAGGCATCCCTGAATTTTAACACATAAGCAGCTGCAGGTACAAACCCACAGTGTACAAGATTTTCTTTTATACAGATGGTCAAGGACTCAAAAACTCAAAAAGGAAGCCAGAAACAAGATCTGGGCATCCTCTTTTCGAAGAGGGCATCCCCACTGCCTGGTAGAGTGAGGACTACACGGGCCATTTGCTAATCATAACAGACTGGTCCTGTGCCAGAAGAACCACTTTTGTGCTTCAACAGCATCTTCTCTGTTACAGCATGGGGCTTGATATGAAGGCACGGACAATAGATGTCCCTCACCTGCTCTGTATTCAAGTTTTTATGTTAAAGATTTGAAATAATTACTGTCCTAAGACTGTTAACAGCAAATTGTGACACTCGACTATAAATCTTAGGCAAAGCTGTCAACTTGGACTGTCACACACTGCTGACACAGGACGGGAAGGGACCACCAGTTCAATGGAGAACCTTGGGAAAAGGAAGAAGGAAGAAAAGGAGAAAGCAGAAAAAGGCAGAAACATCTCTCTTTAGCACTGTTAAATAACATACTGCAAGTGCAGGTTCATACTTTCAGGGAAAGAGCTCTTTAAAGGTGACATATTATACAATTTGGGAACAGCCTGGTTTTTTCTTTTTTCTTTTTTTTCCCTTCAATGGACTTGAGAACTCCTGTAGAAATGTGCAGGCAGTGCTCATCCCTGAGCTGTTGCCAAAATTCAACAATTTGTTTAAAGAACTGAAACTTCCCAGCTGAAGAGTAAGGTACTCTCCTCTTGCACCCCTTCTACCTACAGTAAAGAAGGAATACGACTAATTCTGTCCCCAAAAAAAAACAAACATGGGAGAAACCAGCAGCTATTTACACAGAGATTGCCAGGCATTGAATAAAAGCACAGTTGTCCAAGGTAAAATATAGAAAGACAAGAAATGGACAAAAATTCCAACAGGTTCACAGTGGATCAAAATAATGTCTTGTAAGACACTGAAGCTTCATTTCAATAAAAGAAAGCAGGGGAGGAGGGGTTTGCTTGCCATTAAACCTGCTAATTGAAAATACATAGCTGAAGTGGGGTTCAGAGCAAACTGGCTCTATTTTGGGTGTGCAAGGTTTTAGTATTTTGAGATCCTTACTGGGACGTGCTCTGGGGCTCCAGGAGGCAGATGGTGACCTGAATCAGAACAAACCAATGGAGCCTAAAAATAAACACAGCTTTAGGGCTCGTGATCCAGTGGTTTTCAGACACCTCGTACTCCAGAACTGCAGTTTCCTTTGGAATAAAGTGGCAAACTTCTAAGGCAAAAGTATTAACCTGAAAACAACTGTGGTACTGACTCATGACCGAGTCCAGAGATAGCTCAGAGCAATGAGATGCTCAAGTACTCTGACTCATCCTAAGTATTAACTCAGATGCGCAAGGACAACTTGGTTGTCATAACAGCCAAGCATTTCCCTTCAACAAAGACTACATTGGAAAGGGATTCACTTTCTTATGAGAAAACCCTGCAAATTTTAAGTTTAATGGAAGCTTATCACGGTGTTAAAGGGAGCAGAGTATTTGGCAGAACACTTATTCTCTCCTCTTCAACCACCTCTGAACCATGGGTTGGTCCACCTTGGGAGTGCAAAGCCAAGCTATTAAATATCACCTTTAAATGAAGAAAATATCTGTGGTCACAATGCATTTGGGCTAATCCCTAGGCAAGCACTTACATAGCCCTTTAAACCTTTCACAGAGGTGCAGCTGAACCTCAGTGAGAAGCCAAGGCTCTTGAATTCAAATTATCCTGGTTAAATATCTCCACGGTCCAAAGCACTGCCTTTTGGCATCTCGAAAAGGTTGTGCAAAGGAAAAGCACTATCCTTGTTGCTTCCACACTACTGTTTGTGATCTGATATTGCAGGATAAACAGCCTTTTTCAGCAGACCTTGTCTCAGGACCTAAAGCCAGCTCCAGGCTCTCACATTGGCATCATAACACGATTTGATCTTTTTTGCCCCATTTCCTCCCAGTCTATGGGCCATCTCCGGGAAGCGCTCTGAGGTCTAGCATTATTATCCACAGATAAGCACTCAGAATTGGAATACGAAGAAGTATTTAAAGATATTTCTCACTCCCCTTGATTCCCTTTTCTCCCTTTAAAAGAAATAAACAGAGGAAAGTGTTTGGGTTTTTTATCTCTCAAAACCCTTCAGTCTTGCAGCCTGTAAATCCATGAAATCTAAAAATCCAGTTGATATCAAATAGCAAAAGAAAGAGAACGGTTACACTTTAATCATTCCTCATCAAGTCCTTCTCCTGAAAGGATGACGAATCTCAAAACCACAATAACTTTGCCAAGCAGTGTTTAGAAAAACATGGAGGAGAAAAAAAAAGCAATTATGAGAAGTGGCACTTGCCCAAGTTTGGTGTTGACAAGAAACAGATGGGCAGAAACACCCTCGCTGGGGCAGCAAGGGTACTAAAACAAAGCTTTGTTATGAAATGTAGTCAAGTTACTTGGGGGGGGGAAAGAATACTGAAAACAATGTGTTTGACTATCTGTGAAGACATTTACTGGATGAAAAATATTTCTGAATTGAGAGCCAAATTCTGTCATTAAGCATTTGTAGATAGCGGCTGCTAAACTAGACATATATATTTACCCAATGGCAAAACATGACCCTTTTACAGTGATAAATTTTGGCACAATTTCTTCAAGCAAGCTGACAAAATACAGAGTTAAGAGAGAACATGAAAGCGATTGCCTTTAAAGCATCTTTGAATCTTTGTAGAACAAAAATTGTCTTTTTCCGAAGAGCTGCTGCTCTGTGCAGTGAGTTTATAAGGATTTCTAAGAGTGCCTATTTTCTGGCCAGACGAGAGGTTGTTTTGCACACACTTTGAGGTGACCCAAAGCCATGTAGTTACTGGTGATTAGCGTAATCTGGAGACCAACCTGAGCTTGAACAGGAAAAGCAAATGTGTCTCTCACCCACTTTACAGAGGCATCAAAATCCTAAATGAGCTCTTTTTCATACCATGTATTACATATCTAGAATGACAAGCTCTTCAATAAGCTCAGAAAAACACATTTGCTATTTCTATGTCATTAAACGCTTTGAGAAATGCCTCTGACGGCGGTGATTGATGACTTCAGTACAAAGCTTTTGGATTTCATCTCACTGGATGAAAATCCTTCAACGTTAACACCCAAGACACAGAAGTTTGGCAGCATTTAACAGAACAGACCGGGCCAGCGCGTACAAAAATCATCCTCCAAGCTCCAGAAATGGTCCAGCCAAGGCTATTGCTGGTGCAACCCTAAAAGGGCATTATCAGAAAACATCCACCACTGCATGACCATCCAGACAGGAGTGACAGAGCCCAAGGACTGTCACACCGACAGTGTTATCTTCACATCACCATCTGAAAGCAGCTACTGGCAACTTCTGCAGCAGGGCACAACAGTGGCTTCATTAAATGCATATTTAAATCATCAGTTTTGACCAGTCGGGATAAAATACTTCCACAAGAAAAGTACACAGTAAGAATTCTGAGCCTCTTGTACACAGCCCAAAAAGTTGAATCCATTTTAAAAAGGTCCCTCCAACAACATTCTTCTCTGCCCTCAATTCTAAAATAATTTAAAAGTCATTAATCATTCAAATAAAAAATCTCCTGCATTCCGAAAGGAGATCTGAAACCCAGTACAAGTTTGTTTGTTGTTTTTTTTGGGGTGTGTGTGTTTTCTCCTCTAAAAACACCGTGCGTTCAAATATTAACCCAAACAAAATGCCTCTTATTTCACCTTCTATATGTGGAACATTTCAGCCTGTAATAATACTTTTTAATTCCACTTTTCTAATATACTTTATGCAAAATTAACCATACCGATTTCTACGCCGTTCAATTACTTCATTCCTAGGTCCGGGCAGATTAAGAGGGTAATTCATAACCATTTTCAAGTTAGTTCATAAAGAAGTTTCAGCGGTTTTCTCTAAGAACTTGAAAAGCCAGTTTTCCATCCTCATTCTCATTAAAAACTATTTGTACGAGGATGATAGCAAAAAACTGAACTCAGAAAGGAATCAAAACAGTAACAACTCCATCACAAGAACCGGACACATATGAGCTCAGCTGGCCAGAGAGGATCTGTTGAGCTACGCTGATTATAGCACCCAAACGAGTCTTGATTTGAAACTCCGAAAAAAGCCTTCGAGATTGTAAAAGAAGGTTCTCCGAGGCCACATTATTTACATTTGATTAAAGAATGTCAGCTCTAGCAATTACACTATGCACCACGCACATCCGCGAAACTGTTATTTTTCAGTGCGCTGCCAGAAAAAGGCTTTTGTCTATTTAGATAGCTTTTCATTAACCGCATTTCATTAGTTTTTAGGATTAATTACTACGTCTGCATCAGAAGGTGAAAGAGAAAAAAAATTGAGAGCTGCCCTCTCCGTGTGTCACATCTCTGCATTTCTATACCACAAACCAGAAAATAATTACATCGCCCTATGGAAATTCCAATTTTGAACTCAAGATCTCTCACTTAAGCCCAGTGCGAACAAAAAGACATCTGAGCATCCAACAAGGTTCTCCAGTATGAAGGTGACCAAAATGCACCCACACCAAATGCACGCTGGTCAGAGGGATGTGCTGCTGCCACAGCAATGTCAAAAAAACAGAAACTGAAATTTAATATGTACATTTTTAATAGCGGCACCCAACGATGCCCCCAAATGTAATTATACACGAGCAGTTCCTGGAGATCAACAGGGTCATAAGGTAAAGAGCAGTAATTCTGCTCGGTGCACACTATTAAAGCCCCAGCATCTCAATAAAAAAAAAAAGACAAGCTTCAAGAGCACGTACATAATATAATTAAGCGCAGAGAGATGAAACTCTGATTCTCCTTCCACCTGCATATTTCACCCAAGTATTTTAAACTTTTCCCCATCAGCATGAAGGTTTGGTGAGGCTCTAAATCTTACCACACTGTAATAAGCTTTTTAAAGAATAGACTAGGAGAATAAAAGAGCAATTCCAGCAGTCCAAAAATGTTCAAATTGTTGTGTTTTTTTTTTTATTTACAGACTACTAGCAATTCATGTAAAGGCATCAGATAATGGAGAAAATAGGCATTTTCTAACTTAAAAGTATATAAACAGCTTCATCAGAAACCAATCTTTTAGGTACATAAACAGCTTCATCGGAAGCCGTTCTGCTAGTTACATAAAGAATCCTATTATGCCAAATTAATTCAATCTAACTAATTAGAGAGCAGGAAGTTCTTTCAATTATTTTATGTGCTGTCTGAGAAACACACTTGAATACGAGAGCAGATTTCATTAATTGCGGTTCATTATTCTCCAGATTAGTTACTAAACTTGCCTCAGAAGGTCAAAGACAGCAATTTTGTTAGCTGCCACCTTGACTGGAATGTCTCTGCATTTTTGGAACTTCGGGCAACCACTGGCTTCAAACAAAACCAGCATTTTGTTCAGGTAACTTCTGTATGTGCTCCTTTACTTTAAGGTTGATGCCGACCTAAGGAACGGCGTGTGATTGAAATAAGAAGCTGCTAAAATAAAATAAAATAAAAAATAAAGGTTATTTTCAGTACGAGTGATGAGAACTCCATCTCCTGTTTGCTGGTGCAAAATCAGAGATGTGGTAAAGCATCTACTCGGGGAGCTGCTTGGTCATGATGGACTCAACTTTAGGTATAAACTTGGGAAAAGATTAAGTACTGCTCCCTTGGAAACGATGCTCAAAAGCACTAAAATCAACTTAGCCAGAAGACCCTGCTTATGAGGCGCAACCAAACAGATCTCATGCTTTCGGCAGAGAATTACAGCCATCTATCCCTGATAATTTAACTATAACATATTGGAGATTTAATACAACAGCTGGGCCAGCCGTCTACTTCAAGATGGTTCACCAGCATTTTTCCAGAACGGGTTTTAATGACATTAGATAATTAAGTACTCTCAAATAATGTAACAGACATGCACTGAAAAGGGAGCTTGACAAGAACTTTAGATATTCTCCTTCACTGTAGCTGTTTGATGAACCAGGAGAAACTAATAAACTGATCCACTTTGCTTTTTATCAAAACCCTGGTATTAAATATCTGCTCCTTTGCTTTTAGCCAGAACATCTTTCCATTTGCTTTGTCATTTCTATCCCTGAATCCCGCTCTCCCAATTTGTTGTTTATGGCAACAGAAGTCCATCAGTTCCTGGTTAGGGGTCAGATCCCTTTGCAATTACAGCTGGAAAATCCTTTTGCCTTCACCCTGCACCTGTAGTTTCCCACCTACTCTCACCTTGCACATTCATTTACATCCCCTGCCACCGTGTATTAAAGTTTTATTCTTCCACAGAACTAAGATGCATTTGTTCTGTGTTATCTGAGACTCAGAAATATCATTTTTTGTGTCCTCCCCATTGCCCAGTTTACTGCAGTTATGCAGGAATTACCAGTTTGCTGTCCCTCTCTGGCAGGCTGGCGATAAGGTGTTAAACCCTGACCCTCATCATCCTCCCAGTACGATACCCATTCATCACCGCCACCATTTAAACTCCTCTGCCTGCATTTGCATCATTATAAAGAAATGGGAAGAAAGATTACGAGACATGATATTTATAATGTTCAACCCAGTCTTGCTAAACCCACAGGTATTTATTTTTTGTGCTGCACAGAAGCAGCTGTAGCTAATTCCGTACCAGTTCCTTCAATTTTTGCTCTCTCTTCTACACACTGCAGGAGTGAAGAAGCTCTGTTTCCTTACTGATAGAGCTGTGAAGAATATCTATAAACCCCTCAGACCAGTCAGGTGTATTTTTAATAAAATTGACTTGTTCTATCACAAAACTAAAGTGAATAATTTTAAGATTTCATTTTATTATACAGATCCAGCGGGCACAGAAAAATGGAAGTTGCTCTCCAATGCAACCAAGCATTGAAACATCACACACTCCTGTTTATATAATAGATACAGTATTATATATTAGCTATATTATAGGATATTTATGTATTATTTTATATTATATTTATAAATTAGTTTATACACAAAGGAGAAACAGAATTTTTTCTCCTATTAAAAACTGTTGCGATCATGATTACTTGAGTTCCCATCGTAATCCACAACACAAAATCTCTTTAAATAGATGCCTTTGTAGTTTAAAAACAAAGAATACAAGGCTGATCTTGAACAGTGGGAAGGAGTGGGAACAGGTGGTTAGACTAGAGGCAGGAAATTAGGCCCCGCTCCTAATCTCAGCTCTCATTGATTCACTAAGGATTCAAGAAGTTGTGAAAGGCTCTCAGTGCAATTATAAAGAGCACCTATTTGCATCTCTCCATACCCAAATACCTTTAAAGAAAGTCACTGCCTTAATTTTAATTGTCTAAACCTCATAGAGGAGCAAGTTTATACAAGTCCAGTCTCAACACTGAGGCTGTTGCAAGCAAAAGGCCACATGAAAATGTATAAGCATTAAATTAGATAAGATATGGGAGTAAAATTTGCTCTTTTTATTACTTTGTCGAGAATAAAACCACAGCCAAACTAAAAATATTTTTAAACCCGCCTTATTTTTATTTGTGCTATGTCTGCGATAAGTTACTTCTAAAAATATTTAAGTGTTACTGCATTTATTTTTGCTCTGTCTATTTATTTAATATTTCACTGTACTTCTACAATGACAAAACAACTTCCTGTAGTTCTGGGACATTCTTGGAGGAGCAACGTTTCGTTGGACCGAAAAAAAGAACAGAATGTCTGGATCCAATTGCAAAAACCAGTTGCTTAAGCATTTTAGGGTTTGTTTTGCTTTGTTTTGAGTAAAATATCCCTTAGAACATTCATCTGCCCATCAAGAGGTGAGGAAAGGTCTAAGTTAACAGGTGACATGGTTGCAGAATGGACTTTAACAAGTGAGATGGGGCTCCAGATCTGTCTCCGTAACAGTTTGTTAAATCCTCCAGACTTACACTATAAAGCACTATTCCTTTACAAATAAACTACAGCTTCTCAAATAAAGCAGATCATATTATTTATAATGGCATTCTGTATTTCATCTATTTTCTTTAAAAGAAAGTAGCTTTTTCTAGTCTGTTTGACCATGCATTGGCTCCTGCTCACAGCACAGAAGCCACATCTGGAGCTGGTGGAGTTTTGCAGCACAGCAAGGAAAGGAAAAATCAAATTTCCCAGAAAGGAAAATCAAATGCTTCTCTGACACGTGTAACAGATAAGAGAATGAACAAAAGCAACTGTTCAACGTACAGAGGAGAAGATGGTAAAAGGTGACATGAGCTGGGGCGAGGGGTGGGAGGGAACGGTCTATGAAATAACAAATTAAAAATAGAATTACATTTTCCTCTTGGCAACACACAAACAACACTAAGTGCACTTCATAAATTTTACTATTGTTGCTGCGAGTGGTATTACCATAAATCACGCCGGTAGCGCGCTTGGCACTTTTCAAAAGCCGAGTGGGCTGAGTGTTATCAATAAGTTTAAACAGCTCCACTATCTCTGGACAGAACGGAGGGGAAATGCATCACGAGGCTTTACTATGACTAAAAGCTTAGTTTGCACTGCAACAAGATATAAAATAGCACTTTGCCAGCAAGGCTAACAGCACTCACCAATATTACTTCTTAGCCCATTTGATTTCATTTTTTACCTGCTGTGCAAGAGGAGAGGTCTGCCTGCCCTTCTTCTCATCTCTGACAGGAAAGAGAGACTTCAGCAGCTTTGGCATCTGAGGCACAAAGGACTTGACAGGGTTTAGGTAGGAAGCAGCAAGGCTACCAATCCCTGTTGGAATGACAGAAAAATCAAAATAATTACGCTTTGGGAAAAGGAAAAAGAATCAAATCAACCTCCAAGCCCCCTAAAAAAAATTTACAAAATTGTTATCATTTTCGTCTAAGATGACATCTTCCAGTGGCCAAAGCACCATCCAAAGGGAAGCACTGAGTGCTTGTTCCTCCTTTGAAAGGGACGTGGGAATTTAGCTAGGTCTTAAATCTCTGCCCCCAGTATACAGAAAATGTTTTTCATCACATGGTATGAAAAAGGTTGTTTGCAATTTGAAGCATAAAATGCTTTATAAGTTGCCAAAGCAGGATAAAAAAAAACAACCCAAGAAGCAAAATTGAAAAAGGATGTCCATACAGCTCACAATTTTAACAATTACAAAACTCCCTAGAAATAGAAGATGAGAAGACACAAGTTATGAAAAAGAAGAACATTCAACTCTCCCTACTCATACTGCCGTTTTATCTTATTTAACTGGTCTTAGCTTTAGGAAAGCTCTTACCTGTATCAGGAGAGTGGTTTTGCTGCCCAGAGCCTGGCAGAGAGGTACGAGATGGACTGATGCCTCTACTGGAATTTGTGACACCTTGGGATACATCTTGCTGACTCTCCCATCGGCCCTAGGGAAATAAAAAAAAAGTTGTATTTTTCAAAGTTAGGCCCACCAGCAAGAGTACAGCAAACCTTACACACCACGCCAGCCCACACAGCCCCTTTGCAAAGTTCAGAATGCACAGAACTGAGGAAAGACCCTTCCCCAGAAGCACTTTTAGTTGAGAGACCCAGTCCTGCAAAGATAAGCACCCTCAGCTCCCATCAGCATCAAGGCACATAAAAAGTCTACGTATAGACCTTAAAGCTGTAGTATTTCACTCAATTGCACAGCTGTGTTTTTGGAAGATACAACCAGGTGAAAAGTTACAGTCAGGTGAAAATAAAATAGTACTGTCTACCCCAAAATTCCCAAATATTTCACATATCTGCTCAGGAAGCAGTCACAAGTGATCTTAGGAGTGATACAGTGATCACAATGATAGAGGAGATCTTAAGGCAATTCAATCACAAATCAGGATACAGAGTGTGTCAGAGAGAAGGGGTGAGGACAGGATCTTAGACCTCAAGGCTGGACATTGGTACCTGGGGTCAGAGAATGGATGATGGATCAGGTCAAGAGGAAGCAACTGTAGCACTGGAAAAGAGAGAGATGGAATACACGACAAGACCAGGAGCCAAGAAAAAGATTAAGTAAAGATAGGTTAGAGTTTTGGCACAGTTAGTGAAGATGAGACATGATGATTTTCAGATCTGCAAGAGTCTGTGTACTGTAGATGAGGTAGGAAGAAACAGCAACCAAGAAGGTCGTAGGCCATCTGCCTTCCCAAGGCCCCCAGATTCTCTAGTTGGGTTTTCACATGGATACCAAGGGAGATACACAACATTCAACATGTGGAGTGTGATTTCTCTCACTTTTATGAAGGTCCACTCTGGTTTTCCAACTTTCATCTCAGCTGAAAAGCCAGAAACTTGCTTGATGGCAAAGTCCCTTGGCTAATGGAGAGAACCTCCAAGCTTGTATTTCCCACCAGTGCATGACTGTCAAGAATCCACGTGGTCAAATTGGTTTTTTCCTAACTCTATCATCTTGATATGTAAAATCTTTTACGGATTTGCCTGCAATGATTACAGCAAGTGACCAGCCAGAGGGTCTCTCTGCCGAAAGTTTTGTGTGGATACAAGAGAGTGTGTTGCTTCACCAAACTGAGTGCCAAAAAGATGGCACCGAAACCCACGTGGTTGTCCTGTAAAGGGATACAAGAGAGTGTGTTGCTTCACCAAACCAAGCACCACGTTAAGCATGCAGCGCCAAAAAGGTGGCACCGAAACCCACGTGGTTGTCCTGCAAACTTCTGATATGGGCACACTCATGATGCCTGTCAAAGCTGTTCCTTCACACTGCTAAAAAGTAGGCTTTAATAAAGCTATATGGTGCTAATTTACTTAATTTATAGGAGATATTATGGCAATTTGATATCTGTTTAGAGAGCTGGGTCTCAAATGCTACAAGAAGTCTCAGCGTCTTGTAGAAAAGTGTTGTCCTACTCCGGTAGCAGAGTGCCCTCAGGACCACAAGCTCGCAAAGTTTCACCCTTCCAGAAACAGCGGTTGCAAAGAGAGGATGGTGCAGCCAAACCGATAGAAATTGAAGTCTAATCCCATTTCTGGTGAAGAGTTATGCTTTGGTTGGTACAACATCTGCACTTGTCTGGAATGTATTGCATCTTTATCTTAATCTTCCTTGTCCTTTTAAAAGACATAACAGAACTATTTTCACAAAAAGACAATACAACAAACATACTAGAAAGGAGTCACAAGGGATGTCTGCTATATCCCAGACCACAAGTTTTATGTATTTTTTCCTAGAGGAAGAAGGGGAAACGCACCTTTTCAAGAAGATTCACGCTGTTGGATGCAAGGAAATAATCCGACCTTGAACTGAAAAATGACAGGCAGCTAAACTAATCTTAACTGTAACTTGAAGTCATGAATGTTTCACAAATAATAAATAAGCCAGGATAGGAGGAATAGATTTCTTCAATGGGTTGAAGGTCATACTGAGCAGCCCAGAGCAAAAATCGTTTCTGTTTGGATCTATAAGTTAGTCCCATAGTAGCTCTCCTGCTTTGAATAGCAAGTAACTTGCATTTTTGCAGAGCAGCACCCGCCTTCAGACCTCTACTAGCTAAAATCCTCATTACTAGATGCAGAGACAACAAGGGCTGTTCCTGTGAAGTACCATTCGGGATACCGAAAGACTAATGGATGTCTGAGTTGACTGGAGACAGCCATCCTGCATGTCAAAACTGATGCAATCCAGGCTGGGACCAGCAGTAATACCAGGGCTTTGTTTAGTCTTGTATTTTTGAGGACTTTGGTGTTTAAGCCCTTCTTGAAAGCTTCCTGCTCTATCAGCATGGATGACAGAGCTGCTCTACCCATACCTTAAGCCCTCAACTTAAGCATTATCTTTGACCTGCGACTCATTTATGTCTTACATCAAAAAGTCATGCCTATGTCTGGAAAATTCTTTCCACAAAATGCTTCTATGTAACGGTCCTTCCCTATTCCACTCCTCAGGAACTCTCATTCAGGCTTCTGCTGTCTTGAGTTTCTGTGAGCGCAGGTTTCGTTCGGGTGGCCTTATGCTCTTATATCCATTCAAAATACTGCTTCAGACACTTCAGCTTGCAGGAGAAGAGTCAAAACATGAGAAAGCAGTTTATACTGTCTTCAGGTGGGGAAAATATCTCAGCGCAATTCAGTACTTTTGGGGTGCACCAGCTCAGTGGCGCCAAAGGCGTTTTAAAAGATAAATAAATGGAAGACTATTTGGTGGGAAGTTGTCACAAGACTCAAGGAATCTTGAAATACTGTTTGGTTTTGTTGCCTTCTGTTCTGGTCTGCAATCAGCCTGGTAGATGTCGGCATTAGGTTAAGAAAAAGAATTATGGAAGAGTGCAAAGCACCTGAAGGCTTCTTTTTTTGGAGGACGTAACAAAGCTTAGTGTTGCTTTTGGATCTGTGGATAATGATCCACTTACTAAAGACAAATGGACAAGGGTGACGTCTTAGTAATTTTCTATCTATAGGCCATGTCTAAGTGCTTCTGGAGACCACAGAGACGTAAGAAACAGAAAGACTATTACAGGAAAGTTTTCCAGCTTACTAGAACACTGACTCAATGCAGGTAAGGAGCCACTGAATCATTTTCTGAATCACCATTTGTTGAGTCAGAAGTGCCCTGTGTTGACCATCTCAACAGAAATAATTTCAGGCAAGCATATTACTTTCTAGATCTGTTTGGCGAATGACTAAAAAAATCAGAGTAGGTAAGAGAACAAAACACTTTCAGAATATTCATTTTGTACAGACAGAATGGCAAGATTTAGTGACTTTTTCCCTAGGAAAAACATTTTTCTTAGGATCTTTAGTAAATTTTGCTTCAGCCTTAATATTACAGATGAGTAGATTTTCTACATAATTTTAACATAAAGTTCTACATTTTGCCTGGTTAAATAAAATGCAGGTCCTGAAAACAGGAATTCTAGGAACTTGAGAAGAGGATTTGTAGGGCCAAATAAAATGCAGGTCCTGAAAACAGGAATTTTAGGAACTTGAGAAGAGGATATACCTAAGGCCTGTTGGGTTTTTAAATAACACTTTCTTTGGAGGGAGTGGGAAGATCGTCATCTTAGACTGAACCTCACATTTGTTAGGAGTAACGTGAGCCTTAATTCTGAGATGTCAGCAAACCATTAAAAAGTAGGTAAAACAAGGCAAGAAGTGGAGAAACATTTGCAAAAGAAAATACTGAAGGCACCTAAAATGGTCAACAGTGGTGTGAAGAATCTGCAGAGGCAAAAGGTAGTTCATGAATGATTGATTTTACTAAACTGGATTGAAAGATAACCCATCTCATTCTCACAAAGATAAAAAAAAGTGTAAGAATTATTAACTATATTAACTTGATGAAGTTCCCAAGTTTCACATACGCATGTTCTATAGCACTCTCACATGATTGTTTTCTGCATTCACTAACTGAAACATTTAAACATTAAGTCTAAGCAACTGGTATTATTTAAATGCTGTGAATCCTTCCTCTATCAAGAAGGGTGGTGAGAGAAAGGAAGGAAGCTTGTAAATCATTCGCCCAGAGGAGCCATCATTTCATGAATATATTTGGTCTCTGCCAAGTGACCAAACAGAGGTCAAGTGACTTAATTTAACAAATCAAAAATAGCCACCGGAAGAATGCATCTCCCTTCATGTATTTTGATACAGAGCCTTGATAAAGTCTTTTATTTCTATAATACCTTCTCCTTCTTCTCCTCTGCCTTCCCTTCTTTCACGCATCCTCCATGAAAAACACCAGGGAATTTATTTCAGGTCAGCAGCAACATACACAAAATCTTTAGAGCAAATATGGGTGATCACTACCTAAGTCATCTGTAGGCTTTACCTGACAACAATTCTTTTCTTGAGGTTGACAGACCATTAAAATGCTGCCACTGGGTAAGAGAAATGAACAGTTCTTGTGTTTTGTTATTTTAGCAGTTCAGAAAAGGCTTAGGAAAAGGTGACGTGTAGCACTTAAATATAAGCATACAGCTGGGACAAAAGGCACTTGTTCTCATGAACAGCGACATTATTTAAATTGATCTACTTGGTATGGATTTGGTGAAAAAACCCCAGTTTCCAGTAAAACCTGAAAGTTAAGTGGCACAATCTTGTCTTTCTTGGCTTTTGGATACAAGGCTTTTGAGCTACAAACTACTGGACCTTTGGGAAAGGAAGGATATCAAAGTCAGAACGGCCATTCTGCAGAAGTATTTTAAGAACAACTCATGACATTTTTCATCAGTATGTGATTATCATCTGAAGACCACATGTAAAACAAGTCAGAGGGGCCTCCCATTCTTTGTGCATCTGATTCACCCAGTTTAAGTCAATTGAATTTTTAAACTTCCAATGCAAGCACCCTGGAATGTAAAAAAACAACTCCATGTCTTGTATCACCACAGACTCCACTCCTGCATCCCCTGACACGTGCCGATGTGCAAGATGAAATAAAATTCATCTTACTCTCCTGTAACCATAACTGTAGTGATAGCAGGAGTAAAAATTGGCTTTTTCTCATTTAAACCAAGCAGATATAACTTAGAGGTGAGATGAAATGCAGTCTTCTTAACCTACTATGAAACATTCGTAAGACTGTCTTCTGAAGTAAATTTAGAAGGCATCTCCTTGCCTTCTCAGCCAGTTAGGTAGCTTAATCTTATGAGCTATTATTTAAAAAAAAATCCCAATGGTGACTTAAATATTTCACATGAACGCATATCTCAGTGTGAGAGTCATCCTGCTCTTTGGAAGCTCTCTGGGGTGTCACTACAGAGATATTCTTTAATGTTTTTTTCAAAAATGTGCCAAACTCACACCTCTCCTCCAGTCCTGGAGAAGGGCTTGCTCTTCTAGTTCTTCATGGGGGTGTGACCACCCATTTGTGTTTGTAGTAACAAAGATTCAACTATGGCTGCAAGATGAACCCAGGTCCTAATTCTGGAAACTTCTGATCTGCCTGTTTAGTTGCACCAACACCATCTTTCCTTCTTATTCTAAGTTGTTTAATTTTATTGTTTACAGGGGGATTAGTCCTGGCTGTTCACAGTCCTGAAGAATGAAGCAGAGTCCACATTCCTGATTTTACCAGTGTGAATGGAGCTCTATGGAGAGGAGTGAGACTCAAAAGCCCTTCCACGGTAAAGACAGCAGGAATGCAGGGAATAATAATGTTAAAATCAGAGAGAAAAATGAAGTAATGGAATAAAAAGAGAGGAATATTCTGAAATGTGTTGAGGGCTTCCACTGATATTATCTGCAGGCTTGGCAGAGCAGTTCTCCACACAGTTCAGGAAGCTGTGAAATGTGTTGAGGGCTTCCACTGATATTAAAATATGTGAGCAGTTCTCCACCCAGTTCAGGAAGCCATTACCATCCTGTGACCCATGTTTCTTATGATATAACAAACCACTTGATTTCACTTACTATAGTCACTTGTAAACAAAACCAAATTCCTGGTAAATCAAGGATTTATGACTGCTGGAGAAGACTGTAAACAAAACCAAATTCCTGGTAAATCAACGATTTATGACTGCTGGAGAAGACTTCTTTGTCACTTGCAGAGAAATTTAGTGAAAAAGCCATCTAACTTAGCTGAAACTCTGCCTATCAAGCCAAGAAATTTAGTGAAAAAGCCATCTAACTTAGTTGAAACTCCACCTGTCAAGCCTTCTCAGACCTTGATGCTGAAACAGGACTGGTATGAACAGTGTGCTTTATGATGTCTGTGTGCTATAGGAACAACAGGACTGGTATGAACAGTGTGCTTTATGGTGTCTGTGTGCTATCTAAGAATTTGTTTAACGTTTTGTTCATCTCCCTATGGAAATTGAACCAGAGATCCATTTAAAAATCAGAAAATTCTAAGAGGGGAGTTTGCACCCCGCCACGTCCTGAGGAACAAGTGCCTTGAAATGAAGCAGGCTGGAAGCGAGGAGGGAAGCGACGCAATCTCAGCTCCATGTCACAGCAGTAAATAAATGGTCATCAGCAGCTACATCAGCCACGGGCAAGAGCTGCCAAACCCCATGCAAACCACTACCAGTTAACTCCAGTTCACCCAAGCTTGGTACAACTAAGGGGACAAACAGATCATTCCTCCAGAAGTGTTAATAATGACACTAAGGATAAACATGTTTTCCATTGGCCCAAGTATTAATTTAAAATCATTCCTTCAGAGAAATCAAGGATTGTTAACACTGGACTATCAGAAGCCATAAAGACTAAGAAAGATTTGGAAGAAATCCTCAATGTTATCTTCAAGCTAAAGTACGTATGACTGGCACATATTTGCTTCCTTTCATGTCTATCTTTTTCTTTTTTTTTTGAAGCTAAGATGGGGCCATTTCTGAAATAACTCCACAAATAACTTCACCCTCTCCAAAGAACTGTGAGAAATGGCACTAAATAGCTATAGCTCTGTAACAAACCGTAAGCTGCACCCAAGGAGGAGAAACTTCTCTCATTTGTACCAGTTTCACACTGCATTAATGACAGGCTTTTCAATGGAAAAACACATTTGCTGTGCGCTATGCAAATGAGACACCACCAGCAGCATCTTCAAAGCAGGAAGTAAAAGCGTTCCAGTGAACAAAATAAACTTTATAGTGAGATAAAATTATTATCCCACTCATTAGGTGGACCTAATGCATTACCTCTGCTGGGACCTTTGGACTCTGAAACATGCAATGAGAGAAATCATTGAGGGGAAGGGAGGAGAAAAACAGAAATCATTAAGAACTCTGGTCTTCGATTTTCACTTTAAAAACCTACAATGTTGAAACATCCCACAGTTCTCTCCAAATAGAAGTTGCTATAAGCACTTTATCACCTGCACGTATTTTAGCATTCTCTACATGGATCAGATGTAGCAGATTTAGCAACCAATGCTAGGGCACTACATCAAAATTCTATTATTCTGTGCAACTGCATTATGCATTAAAATGCCTTGTCACCACTAGATTCTTCCTTTCAAAATGACTACACGCTCGCTGGGCAGAATATCTATCAGCAGAAGACCCTTCAGTTTATCTAGGATTTGGAAAATAAGTTTAAATTTAATCTTTCACTTTTTAAAGAAATACTTTTGATCTATACCGTTGTTTTTAAGGAGTGTAATGGGCTGAATTGTCACCCACCACAAGCTTAAAACTGCTGGTTTCCCTCTGAAGGTCAGAGACTCTATTCACATCTCTCTATTCTGTCCTAGAGGTGGACCTTTTATATATATATATATATGAACTTACATATGAACACAAATTTGTCCTTCACCCAGAAGGTTTAGATCCACCCGGGTGAAAGCTTTGGAAGGACTTTGAAGCTGGACAACTGATGAAGGCCTGGGAAGTCTCCCAGAGAGGTCTAGTGCAGCACATCCAAAGCCAGAATATCCTAGGAACAGTCCCGAGGATATGAGGGCACACAAAGAATGAGGTACCTCATCCTTTAGGGGTATTTCCCACTCCTGCCCCTGTAACTGGTATAGTGTAGTGACCTTTTCTCTACAGAAGATCTCCCAGGAGACCCTCAGATACTTACCCGGTTACTGCTCAGGTTATAGGGAAGAGATAAATCTTGGCGGCTTGCGGAAAGCTGAAATAGTTAAGACAAGCACAATTATTTCTGAACAAAAACTTCAACAACTGATACATATGCCTCTTGACAAACACAAGGAAGGATGAAAAGAACGGAAAAGAAGCATCTCTGAAATCCAAGAGATGAAAGGTGAAATCCTGACTATTGACCTGGAAGAGCCAGAATTTGACAAGTATGATTACCAGTTCTATCAAAGGATTTCTCTCCATATTTTGGACAACAGAAGTCTCATCTTTCTTATGCACGGCACTGTTACAAAGTTAAAGTTCAGTAAATACTTTTAAGTAACTTGCTTTCAAATCTGCTAAAAGCAAAAAAAATCTTCAGCTTATAGATAAATGAAAAAATGTCCAGCGTTCAGAAAAAAAATAGGCAGAAGTTCTTTTTACGTTGCTTTTTCAAACATCCTGGATTTATGGGGATGCTTTCAAGCCTGTATGATGAAAGCGTTAATATGTGCGGATTTTGTCTCCTCTTCGCGATTTACACGCTCCCAAATAGCAGTGACAAACAGAAGGGTCAAACAGAAGGAAATTTATTGCTATGCTCCATGACTCTGGCATCACAGGGACCAGACAGGACCTGCTGCCCTCAACGCTCTGCAGATGCCAGCAGGGATACTCACCCGATTCACGTTGGGAGAGCTCAGGCTCCTGCGGCAGAGTTTTCCTTTTCCCATTACCTGCTCTTTTACAGCAACGTCCTGCCAACCATGGAGAAGCAAAACAAATTAAAAACGCATGTTTTTCAAGAATCTAAGCTCCAATCATCCCAGGATAGGTTTGTCTATGCAAGAAAAATGTTTCTAAACAGCCTTATTGCACAGGCTCCTGTCTGTAAAGTCTATTCTAAACTTCAACATCTAGTATTTTGCTGACTGTTACAACTAGTTCCGATCCTAGGAGCTGACTGTTACAGATGCATAGACCCCTTTCCTAGCCGAGCTCCTATTTTAATCCTTTAAACTAATTATACATGACAGGGAACTTGCTTTCAATACTTAGAGTGCATCACACTTCACCGTTAATTTATAGTGGGCAGGCACATACTCTAGCTTGTTTTGCATAACTTCCTTTTGTGCTTGCATAATTTATATCCAGAAGAATAATCTTCAAGAAATGTTTTTTCTCTCCTTTATTTTTCCTGGTAAACATATCACGTTACAGTATTTAATGTTAACCAAATCAATGCTTTATTTATTGATGGGTTTGGTTACTTCAAGGTAAAACATGGACAAAATGGCAAGAATTTTACTAGCAATCTTGGAAACGATTACTAAAGCCAAAGCTTCAGAAAGCAAAGGCTAATGCCACACCAACTACTTGTTCTGAACCATAATTAGCAACAGACAGTCTTAAAAACTAACCAAACATCTCATGAGGTACACCCCAAAGTAGTGTTTTTGGTCTGTTTACCATTGTGTGCACTTCTGAGAACATTTGCATTGCCCTACGCTGTTCTCAGTGAGCAAATTCTCTGCTACAGCCTTAAAACCAGACCTGGCGCAGACGATCCAAGGTGAGGATGTTCTCCACGGCCAGCACGCTCCGCAAGTACTTCTCAATATAGGCTTCTGAGTCAGCTGAAGCTGCATCTTCAACGTTTGCTGCCATTCTGGCCAGTGCCTCCCGCTCTTCAGCTCCTTGAGCATCCTAGGAAGAGGAAAGGAAAAGAAATAACATCATTTTAAAATAAAAGAAAAATCCCCCACATCAGTCCTGAAGAGAAAACATTTTTAAAACACGCAGGAGAGATTCAACATTGTTTTCCCCCAAGATCAGAGGCAGATTCAGATATCTTGTTGGAGATCTCTAAATATAAGCCTCATTACACTGAAAGAATTTGTTACATGCCAACTGCATGGGTGCTCCTACCACCATCACAGACATCCCATCTCATAACCCATATACGTGGTTATTGCTATTTTGGTTTTGAGAGTCTACAGTGAGACACTGCCATGAATTAGCAAAAAGGGTTGCATTCAGGTATTTTGTAATTAAAAAGCGCTCAAACACATTTGGGGTGTTACCTGTCCTGTGGGGAAAATAAAATTTCAAGTGATTTGCAAGAAAAAAAAACCAAGAGCATCGCTTGAAAGGTTTCAACGCAGCGTGCTAAATGCAGCAGAACATAAAAGACAGTCAGGCAGCAATCAGACTTTTGGCTCTTCATGTGTTAATGTTTTTACAAGTGCTCTGATAGAGCATCTGTTTGGGAGGAAAGGATTAGCATCTAACTGGGAACATGCTCAGGAATCAAGAGTTGCATAAAGACATTACTCAGAAAATGCCTATTTGTTATTTTTTACATATTCTCAGGCTCCCTACTTTAGGCACTTCACCTACCCATCTTTACTCCCCTTTTTCTCTCTCTCTTTAAAATGTTTCTTCAAGGACCTGAGCAAATAGATGCTCACTCAACAAAATGCACAGTGACACTGATAAGACACAGGTTGCTGCGAAGTCACAGCATGTAAAGGAATATGCTTAATCTTTTATAAGAACCATAGTTTATGCTTGCAGGGGCAAGAGCTAGCAATCTCAAAATAAGGGGAAAATCAGGAAAGTTAGAGGCTCCGAGCCCATTTGAGATACTCTGATTGCTTACTCACCTCTGGAATATTTGAGACTATCTCAAAAGTGATACCACAGCCAGGAATAGAACTTCTCTGAGACATTCTTCGGAGGAAACTCTGTGCAAAACCCTGTGGGGAGGCAAAAAAAAAAAAAAAAAGGAAAATATTTCTTGCTTTAAGGAAAACATGGTTTAACACATTTCAACTGAAGTAAATACAGTTTACAGTGAAAGAAGTCTAAACCGAAACAACCAGGCAATAAATATGTAAGAGTCAAAGATTTTAATTTGGAGACAAGTAATTTGCTTGTTTGTATTTTAGATACAGAGAAGGGATTAACTTGACTGCAAGGTGACCGCTTAACCAGCACACAAAGCATTTGCTAGTTCTAGAGGTGGGGTTGTGGGGTTTTTTTTTGAGAGCCCCCTAGGTGACTTGTCTTGAATATTGACAAGTACAGGCATTAAATTCTTGACCAAAGAGATCGTTATGAAGAATGATTTAAGGGGGCATGGTCATTGTTTATGCTGACTTGGCGCCTTGCAGGGTTAAGAACTGGACTGTTGAATTAATGCAGAGATGAGTCATTCAAAGATGCTGCTGAGACGAACACCCGGGAAAGGTTATTGACGAGGATTTTCAGAAGCCTAGCAAGAAAGCCAAAGATTCCGTGTCGAATAAAAGCAAAAAACATCATTGACTAAATCCGTAGGAAACAGAATTGATGAGGAGTTAACACAATGGTAATTATTGGCATGTTTAATTTATCTATTGAATACACTCTTCCATTCTATGTGACAAAAAATTCACTTTCCCTCTCCGAGAAAAAGCTTTTGCCTGATGGAAGCACCAAAAACTGTAACTCTTCTGTTCCTAGCACTAAACGTGGTTTAGAGTTGCCTACAGGGTTTCTGGGTGTGACCACACCTCTCCTGCTCCTGCTTCAGATTTTAACTACAGACGTGCAAACAGAATAACAATTCAGGCTTTCTGCTTTGTCATTATCACTGCCAGGGGAAGCTGGATTCTCAGGCAAGGCTGAACAAACTCTTCCTCACCGTCTTTCTCAAGAATTAAATATTTTTTCAGAACTGGGTGCTGCAGGTGAAATGACAACCTTCTGCTTTCCATTTATCAAACATCCTGCTCTCCCCTACACACTACCGTAAGAGCACAAGCCAACTGGAAAACATAAAAGACTAAGTAAGAATGATTAACTTTGATAAATTAAACAAGTGAACCTCTGCTCCAACTATTGCTAATTTATTTCTAAATATGTGGATGCATAAACAGAAATGGTTAGCAGTAATGTGTGAACATACTACAGGAGTAGGGAAACACACAAGTTTCTTCTGATGCAGTTTTCGTAAAAAATCAACTTCAGGCTCATGAGAAGTTAACTCTTTCTGCTTTTTCCAGTGATTGGGGATAAAGCACGTAGTAGTTCATACCAATAATACTAAATCTCTCAGAGATGTCACTGAACCTTTAAAAAAAACCTGTATTATCCACAATGTGTAAGATACTACAAAAATTACTTGGCAGCTTAAAGTCTCGATATGCCATTGATAGAATCATAGAATGGTTTGGTTTGGAAGGGTCCTTAAAGATCATCTAGTCCCAACCCCCTGCCCTGGGCAGGGACACCTCCCACCACACCAGGTTGCTCCAAGCCCCCTCCAACCTGCCCTTGAACCCCTCCAATGATGGGGCAGCCACAGCTTCTCGGGGCAACCTGGACCAGGCTCTCACCACCCTCCCACCAAACAAGTTCTTCCCCACAGCTCAGCTCCATCTCCCCTCTTGCAGTTGAAAACCATTCCACCTCCTCCTAGGGGCTCCCCTCCCTGATCCAGAGTCCCTCCCCAGCTTTCCTGGAGCCCCTTGAGGGACTGGAAGGGGCTCCAAGGTCTCCCCAGATCCTTCTCTTCTCCAGGCTGACCCCCCCAACTCTCTCAGCCCCCCCTCCCAGCAGAGGGGCTCGGGGCCTCCTCTGGTCCTGCTCCAACAGCTCCATGTCCTTCTGCTGTTGGTGGCCCCAGAGCTGGAGGCAGCACTGGGGGGGTCTCCCCAGAGGGGAGCAGAGGGGCAGAATCCCCCCCGGCCCTGCTGGCCACGCTGCTGGGGATGCAGCCCAGGGGGTGGGGGGCTTGCTGGGCTGACAGCCCACATTGCTGGCTCCTGTTGAGCTTCTCACCCACCAACACCCCCAAGTCCTTCTCCTCAGGGCTGCTCCCCATCCATTATCTCCCCAACCTGGGTTTGTGGTTGGAATTGCCCCCACCCAGGTGCAAGGCCTTGCGCTTGGCCTTGTTCGGCAGAGAGGAAGGTAGAGCTACAAGAAAGCAGGAGTCCTCTAGTTCATACTGCACAAACCCCAGCCTTCCCCTCTGCCAGCAGTGATAAACAGGGCGCAGAAGTGACAGGGTGAAGGACTGTAGAAGCTGTACCTGTCGGCCATACACGTTGACACAAATGCGCTTGCGTAACACCAGCTGCATTTCGGCGGGGTGGCTGAGCTGGACGGTGGCTCTCACGATGAGGTAAACTCTTTCATCCGCTGCCGTTCCTTTACTGAGCTGGATACAGTCGTGGACTGTGGAATCCCATGAGGCTTCTGCTTTCACCTGCAAAGGAAAAAAAAAAATGTATCCTCTAATAAGCATAATTAGGTGTATAATTAACTGCAATTAATTAAGCATAATTAACAAAAATACATAATACATAAATTTTGAGAGTCAGCTTCCCCGTTTCATTCCCTATGAGGAAAAATTCCTGCACTTCAGAAGAGGCCATTTAAAAATCAAGATTAGTTTGCCAAATGAAGACGCTGGGATTAAAAATGCCAACTTGCTCGAACTCTGGAACGTTTCCTCTTGAAAAAAAGATCTTTGAATACCCAGGATCATTGCAAATAAGTTATAAAATATGCACAACTACAGGACCATTTGGCCTAATTTATTAAGATAAACCAGAGAGCAACAGAGATTGCAGTGAAAATCTTCCATCACACCACATAAACTCTCCCATCTGTATTTGAGAAATAACTTTAGTGAAACATTTCTAGCAATACAGCAAAAGCTGGAATTTATCTCCTTGAATGTTAAAATGCAAGTATTACTGCAGATTTATATGGTTTATCTTCAAGCCATAAGAAAAACGGTTTGGTAGACAGCTTTTCAGACTTTCAAAACAAAATGGAACAAAAACCCCTACCAAACCCATCCGGAATAAAGCTCCTCTAAAAAGATAAAAAGAAATGTTTCAGAGTAGGGAGCAAAATTTTAAGGTAAAAAAAAATAAATCAGAGATTCGCAATCTAATAGCAAAAATTATAAGCCAACAATTGTCAAGTTGTTAAAGGATGAGCTGTGTGGCTAAATGGAGTATAATGAATGTCCCAATGCAGAGGTAAATATGTTAACCATAGCAAAAATTAAGATTGTTTGGTTTTTCAGCTGAGGGTTTTCATACCCTAATTTGCTCAGGGATCTTGTTTTGTTTTCTTAAACATGAACTCAGAATCTCCAGCTTTTGTAAGACCTGGATGTAGATGAAGGAAGACCCTTGAGTTTTGCTATTTTTCAAATTATGGTTATAGTCCGAGCAAATATTCCTTGAAAACACAAAGTCAGTCATATAAGAAACAAGCATATCCTTTGTATGCTGTCTTTGATGCATTATTTTCACATCTGATTATGGAAGGAGAACAATTAAAAGACTCCTAAATGAAATACACTGGGCTCCATCTCTGCTTACCTCAGTATCGTGATGCTTCACAATCTGCAGTTCAAAGAATTCCTCCTCCTCTTCTGCCACCAGAGTAGCGTCCCACCCACCCGCTTCTGCATCGTCGAGGTTATCTTGGGAACTGAAGTCATCAGCTAGAAACAAAAGGGAATGCAGAAGGTGAGGAGACTCAAAGCAAAACATCCGGCATGTCACAAATTCACATTTTCATCAGTAACTTCCCGGCTTGGCTACTTACACTCTAGAATCCCTTTTCTTTACAGAAAGTGCTCACAAAGATTTGGGGACAAAGATTCAAACGCGCCTTTATAAAGACCCCTATTGTGTGGGAACGTCCCCTCTTTGCCCATATTTTCAGCTCTGCTGCTCAATTTTACTGAGGACACTGCTCATTTGGCATTAGTTGGGTGCTCTATTTTTTAAAAAAATAAAGATAAGCTGCTGGTTGAGCCAGTAAAAATACAGTACTTTCAGATCACGATTAAACAAACCCTTAATCTGGTTTTTGGGAAGAAGCTCGACCTGTTCTGGCTGGAGTCCCTCACCATGAACAAGTCATTAACTAGCTCCTCTCTGAAGCCATTTGATGTATCAATGCACTTTTTGAGATGAACAAACCCTAAATGTGAACAGCATTGCAGCAGAGACCTCCTCAGAGCGGGCAGAACGCAACCACCCTCACCTGATGCTTCTAACTCAAGTATTAACCCTCTTTTAAACATCTTAACAAGGATTTATTCAACTAAATTGGCAATGTTGGCTCCCTGAACTATTTGGGGGTTGCCTTTTTCTTGGGCTGCAATTTCCCAGCTTTGGTAGAAGCATCTGACAAAATACATTGTTGGATTTGGATCTTGTATTTGGATGTACTGAAACATGCATTGCTTAAAGAAGCACACATGGTCACGCTCAGTAAAACTAACTCTAGCTTATCGTGCCAGGTTTTTGTGGTTACAGGTGTGTCACAGTTTAGGCTGGGCTGGCCCCTCAGACAAGACTTCACATTTTCTTCTAAGTCATCAGGAAAGAAATTAGAGAATATAAATCAGTGCTACATCCTTGTGAGACCTCTGAAAGGAACCATTCCCAACAAGAATTTTTTCTTTACAGTGGCTTTTGCGGTTTGCTCCCTTAGGTGTACTCATTTCACTACTTCTATTTTCCTTATTTTTATTTTTACTTATTTTAATTATGGGATTTATTTATGGGATTAATAAAACATATGGCCCCTTCCATATATAACGCTGTGTGTTTTGAAACGTTAAACAATATGTTTCGGTGAAAAATGTGCACTCTCAAATTAATCTACCTGCCGTCGCAGGCATATCTTCATTTGATTAGCTTGCTTAAATTCCATAATGTCATTGGTTGTACCAAGTTTGTTTCCAAGTGCTCTGTCATTTTAAGAACCACTTACCATTCAAGTCAAGGAAAATCACAGGAATGTGCGTTTCCATACCAGGCACAGGAGTCCTAAAATGCAAGACAGGGACAATGGCAGCATTTAAACTAAGGCAGATTTACCCAGCACACGTACCTTATGATACAAGCCTGCAGTACATTACATTCAGTACAACTGCAATTTTTAAGCCAGACCATTGATAACCTTGGCAAACAGCTTTATTTTAATTTACTGTTGCAGATTCTGAGAGACTCAACTAAATTGAGTATTTCTTTTATACCAGCTCTCTTGAAATTATTATATTCTTTGACCTCTACATTCCGAAATGTTTTCTCCCTCTAAATTGCTAATAGCAAAATTAAGTTTATTTACTCCGACACACACATTTATTAAATGCAAACCCCTCTGCATTAGTGATGGTGGTGAAGACAGCAGAGGGAGAGTCGGAAAATCCAGTGTCAAAGTTTTTAAACTAACGTTGATGCTGCCACACTACACAAGTTATTATTCTTTCTTACAAAACACACATATTTAAGAGTCAAAGCTGCCATTTAAGGCATCTTTCATATCATGGAAGAAGGAGTAACATAGGTGGGTTTTGGTTTTAAAATGAATTATTCTGCAGCCCAACACTTCCAAGCTAGACAATGTTAATAAGGTACTAAAGATATAGCATCAAGCACAAAAGACTTCAAGACTCCTCGTTGCAATTGTAGCTGTAAAAAAGGGCTGTGGCCACCTTACGACAAACTTGGACTTGATGAACTTCATGGTGACCCAAAGCAGGCTGGAGTCTTATGTCCTGTATAAGGTGCCTGAATCACACTAAACATTTCCTCTGGTGCAAATGTGTTCAAAACAGATTCTTCCTCAACCAAGTTTCCTGCAGCTCCCCTGGTTTCAAACCTAGTCATAGAATTGTCTAGGTTGGACGGGACCTTTGAGATCATCTAGTCAAACACTTTGACGTGAAAGTTGACTAGTTTCCAACAAGCATTTGCCATTTTTATGTTTCAGAAGTACTGGCTTTAACAAACTTCAGCGTAAAACTCCACCACGCTCAATTCCATTGATAAATACTGTTAGAGGTTTGCTCAGAAAAAAAAATATTCAGAAAGTTGAAAGCAACTGAAGACAAGAGGTTTGAAGTGAAACAAACTCTGCTTCCTTATCTGCAGTTCTTCCTTGGAGCTGCTACAGGATGGCAGTCTCAGTCCAGTGTAGTTTACTATTTTTAATGTTTAGAAAATTACACGGAACACTTGCTGACTAAAGAGACTTTGCACTCAAACCAGGAGTGCAACAAAATTCTCCTGTAGATGCAGTTTTATTATGACGGAGCAGCCTTTTAAGCGAATGAACTGGGTAATTAACATATTAGCTAATTTTTTTAAATGGTAAGTGCAGTGGTAATAAATATTGATTCCGTTTTTTCAGAAGGTCATAATTACACTCTGATCAATACTAGTATCGTTTACTAAATAGCATTTCTGGATTTCAGATACACAGCCTAATAAAATAATTTTAGCGAGAGGCCTAATTTTAACAACTTTGCTCATAGAGTGTACGGAGGGAAGATTAAGGAAAGCAAAACATGGCAACCACCCAAGGCAGGAAGGGGCCATGCATCATTTTTACATCCGTTCTTGCGTATGGCAACGTATGTTCATACCACTCGGCTGGAGCTCCAGGGATGCCGCTGCCAGCAGAAGGAACCATCACAGCGTTTCTTTCTTCAGTGAGCGTCAGCCTCATCTCTAAAAGCTGAGCCTCCCGATCTGCATCGTCTTCTGTTTTATCTGGGGAAGCAGGATGGCAGTCAGGACAACAGAGAGCATTTCCTACTCAGGGCCTTCATCAACGTGTCGACAATCTCATACCATCCATAACGGAATAACACCCACTCTGCTCAGAAATTCAGCACACAAAGAAGAAACGTGTCTCCCTCAAGCCATCACTATTGTTACCTTTAATAGTATTTTGCTTACCAGGCTTCCCAACGAGTTTTTGCAATTGCTGATCAAGATACTCCTGACGCTTTGTTAAGGCACACAGCCACTTCCGACGGAGCCTCTCCAAATCCCTGTCCTGTAAAGAGGAAAGCGGTCATGGTAAATATCGATCCAGGAAAGCCAAGGCTTCCTATTTGTGGCTTACACATTTCCTCAACCCTTCCGCTCATCCTGTACCCAAGAAGCAGATGAGACAGAGAGAGGAGACCTCCAACGAATCACTTAGCTCTTCTCTATTTTCCTTTGCACAAGACAACTTCAACAGAAACACAGAAGAGCTGAGGTTGGAGATTGTCTAGTCCAATCCTGCTCTGTGCCCAAAGCGGGCTCAACCATAGCTTGCTCGGGACTATGTCCAGGTGGGATTTGAATATTTCCAAGGATGGAAACTTTACAACCTCTCTGGGCAACATGTTCCAGTGTTTGACCACCACCATGGTATAAAAAACAAAACAAAACCAAAAAACCATTTCTTATGTGGAGACTCATGTCCGTTCACTGGATACCACTGAGAAAAGCCTGGCTCTGTCTTCTTTGCCCCTTCCCATTTACATACATTGACAAGATCCCACCTGAGCCTTTTCTTCTCGAGGCAAAACAACCCTAGTTCTCTTTGGCTTTCTTCACAGGTCCAATCCCTTACCTTTTTGCGTCTTATTTGAAGCACTTTTGTTTGCCAGCCTGAGGCATCTCTTTCTCTAGCTGTTATTCTGTACCACCCAGCTGAACAAACTTCACTTTATACCTCTTCTTTGCCCCCAACTAGCCTAAATCTCACTAACCACTACCTTGTGGCAGAGGTGTAAAGCCCAGCCCTTACCCATCACTCACGCAGTGTTTAGCAGCCTCCTATTAGGGACCCATCCCTGTCCCACATCATGCCATTGTCCCCAGTATTGGCATTTGCAACCGAGTCTTTTAAAAATATTTTTTCTTAAGTGCTCATGTCCTTCAAAAAAAAACCACCTCAGTATCCTTAAGAACATTCTACACCATTTGTCTGTGGTGTAGAAATGCTCAGAAATGATGAATAATACTCTACATGCAGCATGTTGGGTGCCACAAAGATGAGCTATCAGCTCTGGGATGCCTTCAGGCAAGCCTCTTTTATGGCATGGGCAGTTCAGATTCATTCCACATAAAACTGTAACAAATACTTTATCAAGAAAAATGGGTGGATGCAAGACAATAAACTACGGTTGCATTGCTGACCTGCAGACCCTGGACAAGTGTGCTGGAATCTGCCAGAGAGCATTAAACCTACATCTCTGGTTGCTTCCCTCATACAAAGTTGAGATCTATAATGATGATGATGTGCTTTTGTTAAAGTTATTCGGAAGAAGACTGAAAAAAAAAAATCACTGATATTGTACTGCATCAGTTCCCCTTTGAGGCTCACGTTACTGTGATGTTACATACAAAAATACATACTAAAACATATTAAAAAACCATACTAAAAATAGTGTGCTGATTTCAGTGATTTTATCACTGTCACACTTTGTCTTAGGGCTCTGGGAACAGAACCCCCCCTTGCTTGCCCAGGGGTTGATCACTACGCAGCGTATTCCTGCTCTCACACACACAGCACATTCACAATATGGAACAGCATCAAGTATTTTGACTGTATCTTCAGCTCTTGCTCCTAATGAGGACAATCTCCATCTAGCCATAGTTGGTCAAGAAGGAAGACTCACTCCTTCCCTCAAAACACCACAGACAAAAACCCAATTGGATCTTGTTTTGAGAAAACACATTAAGGCATCTTGTTCTTTCCCTTCCACCTCCCTAATTTACTGTATTGCATAACAATCTATGCAATTCTTAAGCTTTTAGACTCTTCAGAAGACAGGCTTTCTATGTACCCAACTAGCACAGCAAAGATAATGTGCTGTTCCTCCTCTAATATGTTTCAATCTGAAAATGTCTGAGCTTGTAAAAAGAGACAATTCAATTTTTTTACCTGGTAACTGTCCATTTCGTCTTCTTCTTCCTAGGCCAAAACAAGCAAAACCACGTCATTAAATTTTGTTGATAGCAGGAAGAACACTGAATGCAAAAGGTGTAGCTATTTTAAGCAATATTAGGAGTGTTACATAAAAGTCTGAGCTTAGCAAAGGCATCATTATAGAATTATAACACACTAATATCCCCAATATTTGCTGCTCTCAGCTCATCTAGATACAAACTAGAACAATCCAAAAATTATGATGGAAAAATTTCACAGAAATATAGCTATTAGAAATCTTCATAATTGGAAGGAAGAGCAATACTTAAATTGCCCTAAGACAGACATGAGTTACAGCGAAACAACTTGAAACTTTTGATCCTGGACAGCAAAGAACAATATGCTGTTTTATCTGTAAGAGGTAAGTATAAATGTTACAGCAAACACTGAAAAAAAATCAAAGTCTGGCATAGAGGATTCGAGGTAAGGTTGCATTTAGAGGAAAAAAATCATAAACAACTAAGCCAATAGTCAGGGAATTAAAGTAACTCTGTCTCCCACACCAGGAGTTGCAATGCAGACCTTTGACATTTTGATTCCTATCACAGAATCACAGGATGATATGGGGTTGGAAGGGACCTCTGGAGATCATCTCCTCCAACCCCCTGCCAGAGCAGGTCCACCCAGAGCAGGTTGCACAGGAACGTGTCCAGGCGGGGTTTGAATGTCTCCAGAGGAGACTCCACCACCTCCCTGGGCAGCCTCTTCCAGGGCTCTGCCACCCTCACAGGAAAGAAGTTCCTTCTCATGTTGAGATGGAATTTCTTATGCTCAAGTTTGTGCTCGTTCCCTCTTGTCCTGTCACTGGGTACCACTGAAAAAAGACTGGGCCCATCCTCTTGACACCCACCTTCTAATTATTTTTAGATGTTGATCAGATCCCCCCTCAGCCTTCTCTTCTCCAGACTAAAAAGACCCAAGTCCCTCAGCCTCTCCTCATAAAGGAGATCCTCCAGGCCCCTCATCATCTCTGTAGCCCTCTGCTGTCCCCTCTCCAGCAGTTCCCTGTCCTTCTGGATCTGGGGAGCCCAGAACTGGTCCCAGTGCTCCAGCTGGGGCCTCCCCAGGGCAGAGCAGAGGGGCAGGATGACCTCCCTCCACCACCCACTCCCTCCTGGCCACGCTCTTCCTCATGCCCCCCAGGATGCCATTGGCCTTCTTGGCCACAGGGGCACATTGCTGGCTCCTGGGCATTATTTTCTGATGGGAGACACCACCTTTTGCTCTTGACACACATCACAAGCAGAGCCACCTGCAGCGAGCCCAGGCAGAACTGCCTCTCCCTCACGGTGAACAGAAAAGCAATGAGGGTTCCAACCCTCACTGAGTAATTACTCATCTATTTAAGTAATAACAAGCCACTGGAGTCTACTTTCGTACCTTAGTAATGAAAGCAAAAAAACTGAGCTAAGCTAAAATTAAAAAGCCATATAGAAAAGGCATTTTCTTTGTTCAACGTCTTTAGAAAATCGTCCACATTCCACAGACAGTGATTTACTTGAGAGAGAGAGAAATGCTAATAAGGGGACTAAAAATCCAGGTGTTCAAGTCAGAAGGCTATTGTAAGGACTAATAAAACATGGTTTTCAATAGCCCTTTCCCACGTGGGTTACCAGTGTCAGACACAACTCACTAGTCTCTCTCTCAAGCGGAGCTTAAGTCTTTCTCCCTTGACAGAACGCTGGATTTTGGGACTGTCAGATATGGTTCAAACTGGTCAAGGGGTGAGAAATTCCCTGGGGAAGAGACAGGGTGAGAAAAACTAAACACCTGGGACTGGTCACCCCCTTATGGAACAGACTAAAAGGGATGTGTTGTGGGTGTGCAATAGCTTTCAAGGAAAATTTATGGGGAAGAGACAGGGTGAGAAAAACTAAACGCTCACCTGGGACTGGTCATCCCCTTATGGAACAGACTAAAAGGGACGTGTTGTGGGTGTGCAATAGCTTTCAAGTAAAATTTGCAAGAATCAATCATTCTGTGTCAGGAGAGAAGGGTCTCTTAAGGAACTCTTAAGGAACTCTCCATTTAGGAGAGAAACAAGAGTTTACTTGCTCTATAGGATGGGGGTATGGGGAGCTGCTGTGATGGAAGGGCAGCTAGAAACCCCACAGGCACAGTCATTATCAGAAGCATAACGGGCAATAAAAGCAATAATCCACCTGGGATGTGGCTGAAAAGTGCCATCTCTGCAAAGGTGGAAAAAATTCCCCTTTCTGTGCTCCTGACACAGGAGGGGCAAGGGATTGCTGAGGTCAGGATACGCCAAAAACCCCAACTGCTTCAGACTTCACAAAGGGATAAACAATACTGATTAAGCAAAAAAGGGGAGCAGAAGCACATTGAATCATACTCTGTCAATAGGGTAAACATTATGGAAAACTGGGAAATGTCCCAAAAACTACTTGACGTTTAGTTGGCCTTGTCTCAAGCAGGGCAGCTCATCGAGCAAGTCGAGAGACTTTCTTGTTCTGTTGCACCAGGTTTTGGCTCGTTAACTCAGAGGAACGACTGAATTTTAATGTAGCTGACAAAAAAGTCAAACTGCACTCGAAAGTGATAGAAGGATCTCAGAAAGACAATCACTATTACTTGCACTTTAAGATGAAATGAAGTGCTTCTGAGGTTGTCAAACAACTGGCCAACAACCGGCTCATGTAATCCTAATGTTTGTAACTCAACACTATTTGAATACATGTTCCATTTATTTATTTTAATATGAATACTTACTTAAAATTGCTGCCATACCTAACATGTGAAGTACAATCTACTGGAAAAACTCCTACTGAATTTTAGAAACTTTTGTTTTCTTCTTTGAGTGGCATGTTAAGGCTGTGTTGCTTTTGAAGATAGGAAAAAAAAACCACACCTCAAACCAGAAGAGACACAGAAGGTAATCTTAGAAATATTTTTTTTTGCCATAGAAAATGGTTTTTGAATAAGCTGAAGACCTTGCACAACACTTTCTGAAAGAGATTTAGACTTAAACTATCCTCAGTAGTCCCTAAAACCCACCATTAAAGTAATTCTGACAATTCCTCTTGACATCACTTCATACATTTAAGAAGTAGGTTCAAAAAATATTCTCCCAAAACCAAACTAAAACTGAAATGAATGGAGTTGCCTCCAGCTGCATCAAACTTAGGACATCACTTCATGTTTTTACATCTCTTGGAAGCAGCCATAGCTGGCAGGATATATTCAGACTCTTACCTGATAATTTTCAGGTCCTTTTTGTGATTTGACTTGTTTTATTTGAACACAGCCAATGCCAATAGATAATATTGATTCCTCCATCAGTGGCAAGGTCCCAGATTCCTGCACAGATCTCACTTCAACCTGAATTCGTCGAGATTGCCCCTGACCAAAAGAACAATTTGAAATGTTTGGGGGGAGAAAAAAAAAAAAAGAAGACTATAAAATGCTGAAATTTAGTGACAGAGAGACCTCTACCGGCAGTCACTGGCAAGAAACATGATATTTTTATTTTGTGGAGATCTAAGTGATGAGTACTGCAGTCTCAATGCCCCACTGAGTCTCAGTGACCCACTGTACAAGAGAAACCCCTTCTATTGCAAGGATTTATGTATTTATAGAAAAAATGTTCAGCCTTCAGCAACTCCCTAGTTTACTTTTCTGGAGGGTTTTCGAAATATACACTTATAAGATTCTATTTTTAATACTTCTGAAGGTTAAAAATAGGACCTCTTCCCCACCTACAAAAGAAGAAAGAAAATAGTCCAATTTGATTTGCTACTGGAATTTTAGTGAACTTTTCTTGACTCTGGACTCCTTGCCTGAAAATTCTCACCCACGGATGCTATCCATGGTCTTTAGTAAAACCCGTAGGGGAAAAATAAGCAAATAATAACAAACAAGAATAAATCAAAGGACTTGGGGAGTTCAGAGGTGCAGCCTGTATCTAACTTTTACTAATTCCTAGTGTTCTCTGGGCAATAGCTTATCGCTTAAAAATGTTAACTACTCTGTTAAGCATTAACAATTTAATGCGTGTAGAATTCAAAGAACAAAGGAGCGGTTGGCTGGGAGGATCAAATAAAGGGGAACTCTGGACCTCTTTAAAAAATAATTAAGTTCAGTCGAGACTGGTTTCCTTTCTACCAGGTGCTATCACAGCCCAGGGAACGAAACACAGGATTCCAGGCAAGCCCCAAATCACCTTTACATCCCAAGCTTACACAGGCTGGCAGTTTCCCAAAACACAGAGGGGCTCCACTTTGTCCTGCTTTATGTCTTCTCCCAGTTGAAGTCCTGGAGGTGCCACCTTACCTGTCTGAGCTGGAAGATGCCCCCCGTGCACACATCCTTGGCAGGAGTCACCTCAACTGGGCAGTATTCCCCATTCTCATTCAGCTCCAGGATCTGAACCCAGAGTTCTACTTTTCGGGTTACTTCACTCCACCTGCAAAACACGTATTTTTTTTTTTTTTCCCCAAAAAGAGAAAAAGGAAGAAAAAACCTCAGACTGCAGATTGAAGAAGCAAAGGAACGTTTCAGTAAGTACACCATTTGTGACTGTATAGGGTTACCAGTTGTGCAGTGCCTATAAATTCTACTGACAGCTATTTCAGTCAAACATCAGAAATAAGCCTTTTTTTTTCATTCCAATGTGAAAATCCAATTCCCCTTAGATTTTAACATTTATGCTCTGGTCTCAACTACTGCCACAGAAACCCAGTGTTCCTGGTGCAATGAGATTCATACAGAAGACAGCAGAATGAAATACGACATTGTCTCTCACAAGCTTTTGAGATTCAGGGCACTTTCCTGAACTTCATCACACTACTGCCTTCTCTCCAGTTCTTCTAGGAGCTTACACTAGAAATGGCCACTTTCACAGTACCTCAAAATTAAAAAGGAAGGAGGTATTTACTACTCCGCTACCAGATGTAACTCTCCATTTTCTAACATCCCTTTTTCCATGTCCTCTTTGTCGTATTTCCCTGACTTTTCATTTAAATTTCCTGATACATAGCTTAATACTCAACATGCTCATCACAAGCTTAGGCTGGGAGTAAAAAGAGAAATAACTGACAATAAATTAAGGTGCAAAGCTGCCTTTAATTGCAGAGGCAAAACAACTTATATTTTAAGAAAATGCGACTGAGCTTACTTTGGGGACAACAAACAGCTGTAGGCAAAAATGCAGCCCCCTTCAACCTAAATTAACAAACTGCTGCAGATTTACTCCAATTGAAGCAATTAGCAATACAGCTCTTCCAGTGGAAGCATTGCAGTGATGACATTTCACGGCCAAGCATGAACTGAAGTCACACCTTGAATAAATAAATCAGCGTTACAGTCAGAACAACCACCTTACTGGTTTAGACTGGACAGCTCTTCCCAGCGCAGACCAGCATAACAATATAGACGAAAATCATCAGCTTCCTCGTTTGTAAAACACTACTTATGCACTTGAGTTTGCCTAAATAAAAGGGACTTCAAAGTCTTTCAAGTTTCACCACTTTTATTTTGAAACAGAGATGGGCATTTCTCCTCTTTCACTTTTTGAAAGCCTACATCACATGGTGTTTTTCCAACAGACACAGTCTATTTATAATAGTCCAATAAACACAGTCTCAAACACACATTCAGTTGTCTTCAGTTCAAAATTTGAACTACGTATCCTAAACCTGCTGGAGAATCGGCCACCTCAGAGAGCAATTCTCCAAAATTCTAAACCAAAGATCCCTTTTCCATATTTACCTGTCACGAAGGCTGCGTGTTTTGGCTTGAATTATTCCCAAATCCCAGAGGGCTGGATTTTTGCGGTCGCCGCTCTGCTTGTGCCCATAGACTTCAATTGCCAAAGCACCATCATAAAGATGTTCCATGAAGTCTTCGGAAATATTTACAGAAACTTCCTGTATTTAAGGGAAAAATCAGTTGGTGACTGTGGCCACACAAGGCTTAGAGACTGACTGTCTTGACTCCCATATAAGCATGGAGCAAAGTCACCCTGGTCCCCAAGACACAATATAGAGGAATGGAAGTAAAATCAGTTTGTAAAATCAGGAGGCAAGGCAAAGATACACAATTAGCTAAAGGTTACAGTCTATAAAGAGCTGAAAAACGACTGCATGCTGTTCCAAGCCCTGATCCAATGGTTCAAAAAAAAAATGTAAAAATCATATGTTCTAATGTTCAGAAAATCAAAACTCATCAGAAGGTATTGTATCTATTTTACAAATGATGAGTGGAAGAAATTGCTCAGTGTAATGACAAATGATAGAAAGAACAAGCTGAGGACTCAGGTGATTGGTGGGCATTCATCTAAGCTGACTCTAGATATCTCTATTAAAGACGCCTCCACTCAGGCAGTCACTGGAAAGTCAATAGAAAGAAATAGTCTGTTCTAAGATACAAGACCTAATTTCAACATCTCCAGCAGGGTCATGGCCCAGGACTGGGACTTTTTCTCTCTGCTACATCAGAGTGTAGAGCGATCAGCTCAGATGTGGACATCAAATGTCCTCAGATGAGTATCACACTTCCATTCACACTCAGCAGCATTTTTACTGCGGGTAAATGTGATTTTTGTCGAAGTGAACAGGGTAGTATAATCAAACTTTTATAGACTCTGAAGATGTCTCAAGTTCTTTCTAATAGAATTAGAGTATCAATGTCACGAAGTACAATAATGAGAGATAAGAGGCAACTGTTTGTGCAAGCACAAACCTGCTTTTTTTCCCTACAGTTTCATTAATAAAATAGAAAAAAAAATAATTACATTGCAGTGATCAAAGACAACCATGCAGCGTGGCTCCTTGCTGACGGAAGATAAGGAAGGATCCACCTCAGGTGCAACAATAACTGGCTCCAGTTGGTCCCAGAAGGTGTACTTGCAGAACACAAAGTTGGAGAGGTGCTGTGGCAAACCTGTAGCCTGGAGTATTTTAATCTAGAAAAAGAGATGAGATAGAAAGAAAATGCACTTATTCATTAGGCAGAGAAATAAAAAAAAAAATCTTCCGCTAGAGCACGTATTTTATTCTGTTCCACTGCAAAGGATAACAAAAAGAGAAAGGAGCAAAGCAAAAAACTTTACAAAATACGAATTTCTGCATTGATGTAGAGTGGTGACAGTATTTTGAGTGCATCAGCCGAACATGTCTTCCGCTAGAGCACGTATTTTATTCTGTTCCACTGCAAAGGATAACAAAAAGAGAAAGGAGCAAAGCAAAAAACTTTACAAAATACGAATTTCTGCATTGATGTAGAGTGGTGACAGTATTTTGAGTGCATCAGCCGAACATGGCCACTAGGTGTCACCAGGCACACAGTTCTCGGGAGCGAAAGATAAAGGTACTAATTTTACCAACACATCAAAATATCTTGATCATGTTTAACGGTGAGATGCACCAAAAACTTTACAACTGAAGAGGAATACAATAAAAATTTCATACTTCTACAAAAACTCGCTCCTTTATTCTGCAATATCCTTGTCTGAAGATTCTACTTGTCCTTAGAGGCTAGAAACAATACAAAAATAACCCCAACCATACAAAAGTAAGCAGTCCTTTTTCAAAATCAAGGCCAAATAGACACAAAATGTTTTGACTACACCTTCTGATCTAAACAAACCCATCATATTTATCGTATTAGTCCATGAACTTCTATTTGCCATTTGTCAAATTAAGTTCTGATGAGTTAGATTCCTACAGTTAAGGCATTGCTCAAGATCCTCAGGAGAATGTTTCTGCCAATAATGCCCCATACAGCTCGCAAGCACGTGGAGTATGGGACAAGAAAAAAAGTGAAAAGGAGCACAGTTGCCCCCAAATTGTTTACATCGTTCAGTAGCCGGAAAGTTGGGGTTCTACTCCCTCTAGTGCTTTTTGCCTCCCTCTTTTCTTACCTCTAGCTTGGCCTATCTTGCATTTTACTATAAACACAGAACTGCTAGTAAATCCTTCCTGCTAACTTTCTTTTTATTATTAACAATAGTAAACACAACCACACATATTTCACAAAATATTTAGAATATTTAGAGAGACAAATATCGAAAGAGAGTGGTTCACAGTAAATTGGTCAGATTCTATGACTCCTTTTAAATTAGATATTGCAGCTCCAAGTCCTAGTGCACAGATCTTCCACATCTTCCATGACTACAATAAACTGCCTGGGATAAGACTATGTGCATATACATATATATATATTTCTATACATATAAATATAGTTTCATGAATACCTTGCAGACTTAAAAAAAAAATAATCATGAAGATTGAAAGGAGTAAAAGCCATCTACCCCATGTGTTATTTTAGCCACTCAAGAAACAAAATACAGTGAGGACAGACCACACAGCAGCACTTCAAGACAAACACTGGGCACCAGGACACCACACAAAGCCACAAAAAAAAAATACAGCAAAAGAATTAAACTCTGCTCATACAACAGAATAATTAGGTACAGCTAAATTACATGCTTTTTTTTCTTTGTTTTTACATCCTGAAACATCAACACAGTTTAACGTCAGGACTCTGCTTGCCTAACTGAATAATGGAAGTGAAGATGGTGCATGAGGTTACAAAGAGACATCTAATACCCAGAAGCCAACGCACCAGGGACTTTTTTATTTTAAGACTTGGGATGGAAAGAGAGAAGGTTGCTCAGAGGTTCGGAAGTATCTGGAACTCACCCTGCAGACAAGTTTTCTCTCCTGAGTGTCATTTTCATTGGAATAGTCTGGACCATCCTCACCTCCAACCAACCTGTCGTCTATCTCTCCACTCACTCGAACAACTTCAACATGGAGACGACCCGATACCTGGTGAGAAAGGAGCAGGAATTACTTGTGTGCCAGAAAACAGGGACAGGTTCATCCCTTTTCAGGTAACTACAACTACTGCTGTTTCCAGGCTGTGAGCAGACAACGTTTTATTCCTTTGCACTGTTTTGCACTGTGCATTTGCTGCACCAGATGAAGAATTCTTTGGAGCAAGAATCAAAGAGCCTTTGATAAAGAAACCAGCCACTAGAGTGACTTTGGGAACAGCAGACTGCAATCTCCCTCACCTTCACACCATTGTCTGAGAGCCTGCAAAGCACACATATGATGCAGACACAGAGAATGTTGCCTGGTATGCTCTCACTGCCTTTGAAGTTCTTCTTACACTATATATTTAAGAGCCCATTCTTGATGGTAGTTGGTGAAAGCCAGAGGAGCTACAGCTCATACTCATTCTGCTACGTATTTATTCTGGGCTGCTTCGTTCAAAAAGGTGCTCACAAAGCTTCCTCCTTTCACAATCACTGTGCTGGGACTCAAAATTGTCCAAACAACTCTACAAGGTATTACAGGATTTACATAATTCCAAACTGTTAGCAAAGAGCTTGTGCACATGAAACCGGAAAATATCTGTTATATACTGATAATAGGATCCACAGGCTGCAATTAACCAGTTGAGTAAGGATAGATGATAGAAGAACGACGAACCTCTCCCTTCTGATTGATGATTGGAACAGCGTATTGCAGCTTCACGTCGTAGAACAGGCACTCAAGAAAAACATTGGCTACTCCAATAAGGCTGTGGTTTTCCTGCTCGTCGTAGAACGGGTCAGCGCGCCTGAAGTAAGCCCTCATCACCTGCAACCAAATTCGGAATAATGTAAGAAGAACAAACTTTTCATGAAGGAGTTTTTAAAGCGTTGCACAACCGGCCTACTGAAAGAGAGAGGGACTCAAGCAAGAGGCCAGATTAGATCACAGGAGAAATTTCACTGAATTTTAGAGTTGGAAGGGACCATAGAGATCATCTAGTCCAACTCCCCTGCTGAAGCAGGACCACCCGGAGCTTGTCAGAGCATGTTACTCAGGAGCATCCAGGCAGGGCTTGAAAATCTCCAAAGAAGGGGACTCCACACCCTCCCTGGGCAGCCTGTTCCAGGGCTCTGCCACCCTCACTGCGAAGAAGTTTTTCCTCATATTTGAGTGGAACCTCTTCTGTTCCAACTTGTGCCCGTTGCCCCTCGTCCTCTCACTGGGAACCACTGAAAAGAGTCTGGCTCCCTCCTCCTTCAACCCTCCCTTGAGATACTTGTAGGCATTGATAAGGTCTCCCCTCAGCCTTCTCTTCTCCAGGCTAAAGAGTCCCAGCTCTCTCAGTCTTTCCTCATAAGGGAGATGCTCCAATCCTTGAATCATCCTTGTTGCCCTTTGCTGGACTCTTTCCAGCAGTTCCCTGTCCCTCTTGAACTGGGGAGCCCAGAACTGGGCACAGGATTCTAGTTGTGGCCTCACCAGTGCAGAGTAGAGGGGGAAATGGAAACTTGAATTTTGCTGCAGACCCGGCGTAAGGCCTGTCCTCAGCAAGTTCTCCTAAAGGTTTCAGAGCAGTCAGCCCAAACGTCAGCTGCTGTTGTGTTTACTGACTGCTTCCTATCGTGTGCTCGGTTCTGTCACCCAACCACACACGCCAACAAGCATCAAAGTGACAAGACAAGGGTTAACAGAATGCTGAAGATTCCTTCAGTACTAGGAAAAGCAAAAGCTGGGGAAAACTTAGCTCTTTACCTCCCCCCTCCTCCCCCCTTGACCTCCCAAACCAGAAGATTTTCTCACGTCTGATTAAACAAAAAATTTAACAGGGATGTAATTCTATCAGCGCGATACTGGAGTCATTTTTACTTACTGGGTTGTCTTCCTCACAGTCTTTCCACTCCTGGTAAAGATCCCTCATATCTACCAATCGGTTTTCCAGCTTTTCCAGTGACCAAATCTGTTTGCCTTTCCCTTTCCTTCTCACCTGAATAGCAGGCTCGCTGAGAATTGCACCTCGCTGGGAAAAAATTAGGAGAGAGATCAACAAGGAACACGTCACAAAAATCAAAAAGTAGTTTAAAACCAATACAAAACCGAGAATATCTTCGAGAAAAGTCTGGATTTTGTTCTTTTTTTTTTATTCTAGCTTGAGCAGCCAAATTCAAGCGTGACAGACTCTGAGTTGGGCTGTCACAGTATATTCATGTTCAGTTTAACTGTGAAGTTTAATCACAGCTACAGGCACTACTTTCTGTGGATTTTCACCTTACATAAGTGTTAGAAATAGGAACATTTAAGCACTTCACAAACTTCCTCAAGTTACAGCAGGCCTGGACCTCCAGCTAAGGTTACTACTGTCAGCTTTCAACTAGTGCAGATACTTAGACCCTCTGCACCCTCCAGTTTCTAGATGCAAGAAAAACAAGCAAATGACGTCATATTTAATAGAATATATAATATATATATACTATGATAGACTAGCAAACTATCTAGAACATGAAAGTCAAAATACAGCAAATATGAACATTGAGGGGCAAAGTTACTGAACAACAATGTAGTTCTGATAGGACTCCCTTACCTTACTGTTAGCATTAAGGCTTGAAGCTGGGATCTGGAGGGTAACTTTGTACTCTGTCCTCTTGTCCAATTCCTCTCCAATAAAATTGGCTTCTCTCACATACAAATTGGCTTTAACAATCTGCTCTCGCAGCTTCCTCAGGCTGTGGGTCAACATTTCTTCTCTAAAAGAAAGGGATTTGGAGGGGGAGACAGGGAAAAATACTGAAACGGTGCAAAAGAAATGATCCCTTGACAGGAAGGAGTCTTAACATTCAGCTTTCTAACACAAAAATTGGGCGAATTAAATTGCATTTCTTCTGGAGGAAAAGAGTTTATCCATATGAATTTAGCGGTATGAACACCATCATCCTGCTGGGTTTGGAGACTTCTCCACGTATCTGCTGAACAGTCAGCTCCTGTGGGGCTTATTCCAGAGTTTCCCCACCACGGATATGGATGTTCCACCTCACAGAGAAAGATTTATTCTGACACCATGACCCACTCTCTCACTGGCCCTTCCTGGCACGAGTGAGAGAGCATCAACTGTGCAGCACAGCAATCTGGTACCACAAAATATTCCAGAGACACAGCTAACATCTCGCTAGACTGGCTCAAATATTTTCTATTTCGAAAGTCCCTTATCTAGACATATAAATGAGATTTTTATTTGCTCATTACAGCGTCTTTACTGTACTCATTGCTTTAGGGTACGTTTCATCTTCCTCCTGCAGCTGCTCTTTTTATCAGTAATACTGGAAACAATCAGTTAGAGGCTGGAGTAAATAACCTCAGTGCAATTGCCTCAAAGAGGGCTAGAGGAAAGCAGCCCCTCTGTGGTTATTAAACAGCTCTTGCGATGCTCTGGAACAAAATTCTTTGTATCATCCTCTTACTCCCTTTTCTTTCTGCACTCTTCTGGTTGCCAAGACCTGCCCAGGTCAGATAGATGGATGTGAATCAAAAGGAAAAGCAACCTTCCAGCAGCTGGGTCATGATCCATGGGAGAACACACTTGTATAGGAGTCCCTTTCAATCACCTCATCTTTACTCAAATTTGTTGCTGATCAGGATAGAGTTTCTCCTTAACAACAAAGCAGGCACTCTTTCCTTCTCATCTTTTCTAGCATTATCGATTTTCTCCTTAACAACAAAGCAGGCACTCTTTTCCTTCTTATCTTTTCTAGCATTATCGATCTAATTACAGAATTACAGAATCTTCTAGGTTGGAAGGGACCTTCAAGATCATCTTGTCCAACCGTCAACCCAACTGACAAAAATAGACACCCACACAACAAACAAGAAGCATCACCATCACTAAACCATACCTCCCAGCACTACATCAACCCGTCTTTTGAACACCTCCAGGGATGGTGCCTCAACCACCTCCCTGGGCAGCCCATTCCAATGGCTGAGAACCCTTTCAGTGAAAAAATTTTTCCTAATATCCAGCCTGAACCTCCCCTGGTGTAACTTGAGGCCATTTCCTCTCGTCCTGTCGCCTGTGACTTGAGAGAAGAGACCGACCCCCACCTCTTTACACCCTCCTTTCGGGGAGTTGTAGAGAGCAATAAGGTCTCCCCTCAGCCTCCTCTTCTCCAGGCTGAACACCCCCAGCTCCCTCAGCCTCTCCTCATAAGACTTGTGCTCCAGACCCCTCACCATCTTTGTTGCCCTTCTCTGGACCTGCTCCAGCACATTGTCCTAATGTTTTTGCTGTGTCCTTCCCAGCTCCCCACAGGAATCCTCTCAGAAATTTGGCGACGCAATTAAAATCTTGCAAAGCCCACCAGCACTGAAGAACTTTAAATGAAGGCTCCTGATGGTTCAGATTGGATTACCCACCTCTCCTCTGCCCACTGCCGTAAGCGCTGCTGGGCGCTGGGGGAGTGGAAGGAGAACCTGTCCATGCTGCGGAAATGCTGCTTCTCCGGCGACAACCGCCTTCGCAGCTGCTCCAGCTCGTGTTCGTACATCAGCCTCTGCCGCTCCAGCGCCGACCTCTTCTCCTCCTCGTGCTGCTGCTCCAGGCTTTGCAGGATGGACTGCATGGGATCTAAGCAGATGTCGAAAACAAAGAAAACTCGTACTTCTGGGGGCCAAATACCTGGTACCCGTAAAACTAAATGGAATTAAACATAACGAATGCTGCTGCTCCAGGCTCTGCAGGATGGACTGCATGGGATCTAAGCAGATGTTGAAAACAAAGAAAACTCGTACTTCTTGGGGGCCTGGTACCCGTAAAATTAAATGGAATTAAACAAAACGAACGCGGGGCAGAGAGAGTGGACTTGGAAAGACAAGATCTTTCCCACTTTCTGCTACAGATACACGGTATGACCTTGGGCAAGCCACAAGTTGCTATGATTTCGTGCCTCCCTTCCCCATTCTGTATCTGCAGTTGCCCAGGGAAGCTGTGGCTGCCCCATCCCTGGAGGGGTTCAAGGCCAAGCTGGATGGGGCTTGGAGCAACCTGGTCTGATGGGAGGTGTCCCTGCCCATGGCAGGGGGGTGGAACTCGATGATCTTTGAGGTCCCTTCCAACCCAAACCATTCTATGATTCTACCCACTGAAATCCCTGGTGAAGAACGTCCTCGAGAATAAACATAGTTAGCATCTGAAAGGAGGGAGAGATTATACTTTTGCTGTAATGCATATTAAAAAAACGCTGCTGAACTGTGGACTAAAATAAACATCTACTGAACAGGTTGGATGGATGATTTAAGATAATTGAGAAAAGGGAAAGAACAACCTGAAAAAAGACCTTCCTCCTGTTTCCAAAATAATGCCATTCTGGGATAGCTACATAAACCCACAAAAACTAAGGAACATGGTTTTGGAGACAGAAATCACTAAGGTTAATGCCTGAGTGAGACACAACAAAAGAAAAATAAACAACAAAGTGAAACCACTTTTGATTTGAGGCTGCAGTTCCACCAGTATTCCAGTTTTGGCCTTTTCCTCAACAAGAACTGCCAAACAAAACATTCTGCGGTAGCTTTTTTTCCCCTTCAAGTGCAAAAATGGCTACCATGAATCATTCACAAGAAAAATTCCCCAGTAGGAAGTTATAAGGGAAAAACTCTGTGGTTAAGAGTCCCTGAAGATGTAACCTCATATTCTGTAGTTATTTCCAGTAATTTCTGTTGCTTCTTACCATTACTACCAAGTGCCTTCATCGTGACTTCCATCTGGGCATATTCATAACTGAAGTTAATCTCACTTGACACTTCACTGGAATTGTCCCCATCTATGTCCAGCTGCTCAACACTATTGCTGCACTTCATGGAGTTGTCCCGCTCTTCATCCTCATGATCAGCCTTCTTTTTCTTCTTTGGCAAATTCAGCCTTTAAGCAAGAGGAAAATTGTTAAATTATTAAAGGCTCGACTTTGATACAAAGAGTTACTTTCAAAGATTATTAAAATTAAGCAGATTATCTGAATTGGTAGATTTTTCCCTTTCAAAATTTGTTGATCTCCCGCGAGTGTAGTTTTCCTCAGCATAAACAGGGGAGTTCAAGGCAAACTAACTAATCCATTCTAAACTCTAGGGTACCTGATGTTACTAATCATATAGTTTAGATAAACATGATTTTTTTCAGTCGTCCCATATCCAAATAATTTAGAGGCAATAATGAAATTATATCCCACTTTTTATGTGGATTCTTATTATTTAAAACCATTGATCTGTAAGGTATAATGAAATTATATCCCACTTTTTATGTGGATTCTTCTTTCAAGCATAAAAGAAAACAATTAAGTTTTAGATTATTATTTAAATCCATTGATCTGTAAGGTCTTTCAGACCAGACACAGAAGGTTTCAAGAATACAGCCTTTCAAATAAAATTTTGCCAGTGATCCTGTCTGGGATACAGGAAGGGCTCAGGTATGGCTGGAGCTGGAATTCCAGGGCACAGAGAACACAGTGCCTTTGTAAGACCCAGATCACTGCATAAACTGGGTCAAAAATCTAACACCCTAACTGCAAAATCCAAAAGACAACCTATCCAAGTCAAAGCTTGGCTGTAGCATTTACACTGTGCAAGTGAAAAGTCTTAATATTAATGTGGTATCGAACCACATTAAAATTACCAGCTCAAAAATTGACAACAGCAAGGTTTCAGTTCTTTGAAAATACAAGAAGTTAAATCAACCTGTTGCTCTGAACCTAAATCATGCACATTTGCTATGATACATAGCATCAAGAACAGCCAAACATCAGCATAGCCTCTATAACCCCAACGAAAAAGAAATCACCTCCTCCTGCAGTCTGAACGCTCCACTGTCATCTTTCCTTACACCTTAACATAAAGCAAAATTGGTGCCAACTTACAATTTCTTCAATAATTTCTGTACCTGAAGAAGTGGTTGTTTCCCCACAGTATTCTGTCTCCATGATGTAGCTGGATGGGACACACGACAGCAGAACCATTTACGAATGTCCTGTGAAAAGGCAAAAAATTAAAACAGATGTGTCTATACAAGGCTTAATTTTTTTTTTCCAGTACTAGTTTCTTTATTGTTAAAGGAGGAAAATGGGTTTAGGATTGCAAAGAGGACAAATATCCCCGGGAACTCAATTCACCTAGATGTGTCTATACAAGGCTTAATTTTTTTTCCCAGTACTACTTTCTTTATTGTAACTAGTTAAAGGAGGAGAACGGGTTTAGGGATTGCAAAGTAGACAAATATCCCCAGAAACTTAATTCACCCGCCCTGTGCTGTTTCATGAACTCCTCAAAATCAGCTTCTTTTGATTGCTTAAGCTTATTGAGTTCAGTGCTTTTGGACAGATAATATGACATCTATGTCTGGGGAGCATAATTAGAGCTTAAAAATGAGGGGCCTGAAAAAAGATGATGTCACTGGAAATAAACACTTTTCATGTTACTTTGAAATAGACACAAAATAGAAACATTTGAATAAGACATGAGAGAACTTTGGTATATTAATAGCTTAAAGGCAACAAACTAATCAGAATAATCAGAAACTACTTTTATTTCAGAGTCAGATTCAGTCTGAAAATAGGATCACAGGATAACTGAAATTTGAAGGGAACCTGAGGATGTCATCCAGCCCTATCTCCTGCTCAGGATGAACTACGAATCAGGGTAAGTGTGAATTTTGTGTATCTAACAATAAATTATTGGAGATGCTGACGATGCGTGTCATTTTGTGATCTATTTGAATATACCATCTGCTTTTCAAGTACTGCTACTTAATCAAATAAGGCAACAAATGCTTCAGCAGCTCTTTGCATATCAACAGATTTCCTAGCAAATGAATTCAAATGCTGATAGAGTTGCATCTACACAGCTGCAAATCAGTGAGTATCTACTTGCTGAAAGCATATGCCATTTACTCATCCTCTCTTTGAAAACTTTGACTACAGACACCATCCCTGAGAGAAACCTCTTTAGAACAAAAGACTTGAGCTGACAGAGGAGTATATGACAATTAAAACAAAATGTAAAAGCAAGATACAAGAAGTAGAATTTTCTTGCTTCAGACTACATGGAGTTCATTTTTCAATTATCTTTTTGCACCATTAACCATAAAATACTAGATACAACTACAATTATACAACTGGAGCTGTATTTTATTCCTTTACCTAGTATTTTTTTGAGGTGTTAACATAACCTGTCCTTCTGGGGTGATGTCTATAATGCAGTGCTCAGGAAGAATTCCCATTCCACACAGCTGGATATCTTGAGAGTTGTCCGAGCCTATTAATGTGTGCTCCTGGGAAAAAATAATTAAGATGTTAGCAATGGGCTACAGAAGTTCACTAGCTCTAACTCATCCATTCTCCTTATTGATATACCCTGTCACCTAGTTCCAAAATTTGAAAGCTCTTGAAGAGCCTCCCATAGAGGGGAAAAAGGAGAATGAAACATTGCAAGCAAATCCTCGCTTTGCCTTACAGTAACAAGTAGGAAACATTCAAGAAAGTTTAAAGGCACCAGTTAAATCTGGAGATGAAGAGGTTTCTATAATTTAATTGTGGAAGCCAGTGCCTCGGGATGTTGTAGAAGCCAAAACAATAAAGGAATTCAAAGAGGAATTAAGACAGGCTGACAGTGGTTAGACCCCATGGCTATTACACAGGTTCCATCTAGATCATCCCAAGGCTTAGGAAATTCCTGAAGTACTCAAGGCATGAGGGATTTGGCAGAGGAAGAATCACTCCACACACATCCTGGTTCATCCATTTCTTTTTTTAGGCATCTCTGAGAAATTTTTGAGGAACAGACACAATAGTTTAGATAAGCCAGATCAAGTTGTTCTTTGGTGCTTACAAGAACTAGTACACGAGCAGCTCAACATTAAGGAGAATGTGGGCAAGATATTTACTCTGGAAAGCCAGATGGTTTAACCTCAGAATTTTAGGCAAATTAGTAGGGATTTTTACACCAAAGTTCTCAACCGACAAAAAGAATTTGTGTTATAAAAAAATAACAAAAAATTAAAGACTAAGTGAAATTCCCCAAACCTACCCCATGCAAAGGGGTTTTCTCTGGCAATGGAAAGTAGCTCGGTACCACCTGAGATTTTTCTGCTGGTACTGACGGGCCAAGGGCTGTTTTTGAGCAGGGTTTGGCTTTGATGTACCCTTGTTTTGTGTCCCCAGCGAAGGCCACAGAAGCTGATTTAGCAGCTGGAGTCACGCTCCGGGCACCTTCGTGCAAGGAGCCTGGAAAGGATTCAATTATTCTCCCAAAACCTCAGCTTTTCTGTCCTTTTTAATGCTTTTTAATAGATACAACGCTAAGAAAGTTCTTTCCCTTGCTTCCATTGAGATATCACACAGCAACTATGACTGGTATCAGAGAAGATCACGTTTTCCCTAAGACCAACTAAACCAAAACCATCTTTCAGCCTGATTGCTGATTCTCCTACAGACCACTTCAAAGAGAAAAGAATGATTTAGTGTGAAGCTCAAATTGCCAATGTTCTTACGCTGCTAAATTTTTAGAACTGGTATTCTAAATCGTGACTTAAAAATGGTAGTATCATCTCATTTCTCCTCCTGACTCCAGGTCACGTCTACAGTTTGTTAAACGGGAATAAACTGCTCAAATGTTTCAGTGCAGAGTCCAAAAGTCACATTATGCATTTTATGTTTAACATCAGGAAAGGGGATGGCACATCAGGAAAGGGGATGGCACATCAGCAAAAGTGCTAAGACAGAAAAGAACTTTTTTTTCACTCCTGGTGAGTTGCACAAAGAGGAATAAAAATGCATTTTATAAACTCAAGTCTGTACTACACATGTAGAAGCAAGCTGATTAGTGATACACCCAAATAAAACACTTTTCTGCGTAAAACCTTGTAAAAGCTGGCATAAAAAACCCCCAGAAGACAGATTATAAAAGAGAGCATCTCTAAATTTCTTTAAAAAACCAACATATAAAACCCCCGAGCCTTTCTCTGATACACAGAATTAAATTTGCAATAAAAAGATTGTCCTCATATTATTTTCAATGAGGCAGTGAGTATCAGAGAAGGCTTTAGATATGCAATTTTTATAATATTCTCTTAGTAAACCTTGCCAATGGCAAGTCTACTTCTATTAAAATTTTTTTATATATAGATATATCTCAATATTTATTTTTACCTTTAAATAGTATACCAGAAGTTCATTGAGAGCTGGATCTGCATTCAAATTAACCAGGAAGCACTTATTATCCCCAACTTTTATTCCAGAAGACTGAAGAGATATGCCAAGACTTTCCAACTGTTTCTGACGCTCCTGCAAGAGAGTAGCCATCAAAAAAAATTAAGCTGATTGATGTACGGCCTTTCGGAAATGCATTCCCATCTGCCAAAGCCACAAGCCAAAACGATGGGCAGCTACTTCTGAAGACAGGCAACTCTTTCTTCTGCAGTGGGAAATGCATTCCCATCTGCCAAAGCCACAAACCAAAACGATGGGCAGCGACTTCTGAGACAGGCAACTCTTTCTTCTGCAGTAGATTAGACACAAAAAACCTGAGTTATATCAAGCTTTGATCAGAGTGTTTGTAATTGCTCTTGTCCTTCCACCTCTGGTCTCAGAGGGCTACGTGCTGTGGTCTCGCAGGGTTGCATTTTCCTAGTGAAAAAGGAAAAAAGCAGCTGAGAGCAGGACACTGCAGTACTGTAGGAGCTTCTCCATGACCTCACTGGAACAGCAAAAGGCTCCCACAAAGACCTCTCTAGAGCCCTTTATTTTCTCTGTGGAGCTAAAAAGCAACAAGTTAAGTTAAATCCCTGCCAAGTCAAGCTCCATGTCTATCTTTTATTCCAGAGCAATCAAAATGACAAAAACCTGGCAACCTGCTATTTAAGTAATGCAAATAACACTTCCTGCTGAACAAGAATAGTAGCATTTTGGATGGGGTTTTGTTCTCGTCAATAGACTTCATAGAATTCAACAACAAAGCATTACTGTGCAAAAATGTACATCTTTCAAAGGGAAGTGTTTGGGTGAAGACTAGAGCAGTGAAAGAGGAACATTAAACATTGCTGACTTAAGAACAGAAAGGGATTCTTCCACAAAAAGAAAAAAAAAAATTGAGATAGAAACGTTGAGAATTGTTCCCAGGATCATACAGAAACTGAAACCAGACTCACTATCCACAACTAGCAAAGAAAATTTAAAAAATAAACATGGGAGGCCTCTCGCAGAATTAGAGGAGAATGTGGGCAAGATATTTACTCTGGAAAGCCAGATGGTTTAACCTCAGAATTTTAGGCAAATTAGTAGGGATTTTTACACCAAAGTTCTCAACCGACAAAAAGAATTTGTGTTATAAAAAAATAACAAAAAATTAAAGACTAAGTGAAATTCCCCAAACCTACCCCATGCAAAGGGGTTTTCTCTGGCAATGGAAAGTAGCTCGGTACCACCTGAGATTTTTCTGCTGGTACTGACGGGCCAAGGGCTGTTTTTGAGCAGGGTTTGGCTTTGATGTACCCTTGTTTTGTGTCCCCAGCGAAGGCCACAGAAGCTGATTTAGCAGCTGGAGTCACGCTCCGGGCACCTTCGTGCAAGGAGCCTGGAAAGGATTCAATTATTCTCCCAAAACCTCAGCTTTTCTGTCCTTTTTAATGCTTTTTAATAGATACAACGCTAAGAAAGTTCTTTCCCTTGCTTCCATTGAGATATCACACAGCAACTATGACTGGTATCAGAGAAGATCACGTTTTCCCTAAGACCAACTAAACCAAAACCATCTTTCAGCCTGATTGCTGATTCTCCTACAGACCACTTCAAAGAGAAAAGAATGATTTAGTGTGAAGCTCAAATTGCCAATGTTCTTACGCTGCTAAATTTTTAGAACTGCTATTCTAAATCGTGACTTAAAAATGGTAGTATCATCTCATTTCTCCTCCTGACTCCAGGTCACGTCTACAGTTTGTTAAACCGGAATAAACTGCTCAAATGTTTCAGTGCAGAGTCCAAAAGTCACATTATGCATTTTATGTTTAACATCAGGAAAGGGGATGGCACATCAGGAAAGGGGATGGCACATCAGCAAAAGTGCTAAGACAGAAAAGAACTTTTTTTTCACTCCTGGTGAGTTGCACAAAGAGGAATAAAAATGCATTTTATAAACTCAAGTCTGTACTACACATGTAGAAGCAAGCTGATTAGTGATACACCCAAATAAAACACTTTTCTGGGTAAAACCTTGTAAAAGCTGGCATAAAAAAACCCCAGAAGACAGATTATAAAAGAGAGCATCTCTAAATTTCTTTAAAAAACCAACATATAAAACCCCCGAGCCTTTCTCTGATACACAGAATTAAATTTGCAATAAAAAGATTGTCCTCATATTATTTTCAATGAGGCAGTGAGTATCAGAGAAGGCTTTAGATATGCAATTTTTATAATATTCTCTTAGTAAACCTTGCCAATGGCAAGTCTACTTCTATTAAAATTTTTTTATATATAGATATATCTCAATATTTATTTTTACCTTTAAATAGTATACCAGAAGTTCATTGAGAGCTGGATCTGCATTCAAATTAACCAGGAAGCACTTATTATCCCCAACTTTTATTCCAGAAGACTGAAGAGATATGCCAAGACTTTCCAACTGTTTCTGACGCTCCTGCAAGAGAGTAGCCATCAAAAAAAATTAAGCTGATTGATGTACGGCCTTTCGGAAATGCATTCCCATCTGCCAAAGCCACAAGCCAAAACGATGGGCAGCTACTTCTGAAGACAGGCAACTCTTTCTTCTGCAGTGGATTAGACACAAAAAACCTGAGTTATATCAAGCTTTGATCAGAGTGTTTGTAATTTCTCTTGTCCTTCCACCTCTGGTCTCAGAGGGCTACGTGCTGTGGTCTCGCAGGGTTGCATTTTCCTAGTGAAAAAGGAAAAAAGCAGCTGAGAGCAGGACACTGCAGTACTGTAGGAGCTTCTCCATGACCTCACTGGAACAGCAAAAGGCTCCCACAAAGACCTCTCTAGAGCCCTTTATTTTCTCTGTGGAGCTAAAAAGCAACAAGTTAAGTTAAATCCCTGCCAAGTCAAGCTCCATGTCTATCTTTTATTCCAGAGCAATCAAAATGACAAAAACCTGGCAACCTGCTATTTAAGTAATGCAAATAACACTTCCTGCTGAACAAGAATAGTAGCATTTTGGATGGGGTTTTGTTCTCGTCAATAGACTTCATAGAATTCAACAACAAAGCATTACTGTGCAAAAATGTACATCTTTCAAAGGGAAGTGTTTGGGTGAAGACTAGAGCAGTGAAAGAGGAACATTAAACATTGCTGACTTAAGAACAGAAAGGGACTCTTCCACAAAAAGAAAAAAAAAATTGAGATAGAAACGTTGAGAATTGTTCCCAGGATCATACAGAAACTGAAACCAGACTCACTATCCACAACTAGCAAAGAAAATTTAAAAAATAAACATGGGAGGCCTCTCGCAGAATTAGCAGGGGGAAGCAGAAACAGGGGAGGGGAAAACAAGTAAGTGAAAAAAAATACAAGCAGAAACAGGGGAGGGGAAAACAAGTAAGTAAAAAAAATACGAGACTCGCAGAGGCCTTTCCCATGATGCTGAGACTTAAAGAAAAATCATAAAAAATTAGCAGATATTATATAGGAATAATGCTGGTATGTTTATTAAGGTTCTAACCTTTACCTACCACTCTGTTTTGTATTTAAACATTTACTATATCATATTATTCAGTATAATTCTTTGTTCAGCACTGGAGTTGTACCAGATCTAGTGAAGATTAAAATAGCAAAAAAGAACAAACAGAACTCCTCTTGATTTTCTCTACCCTGTCTCCCCACACACTTACAAAACCAACATAATGTCCTTGTAAGGAAGAGTCGTGTGTGTGTGTACGAGAGAGAGAGAGAAAAACAAAGAACAGAGGAAAAACTGCAGTGTGATGTCAAAGATCTCTCTTCCGATCACCAGTGCCAGGCTCTGAACTTCACATAATTCCTTATTATCCACAGAAAGAGATAAAGAACGTGTTGCACGAAGGAGGCCTTGGCCAGTTTCTGTTAATTTTTGCTCAACACCTAATTTTAATTAACTTAAATATTCAACATACTTTTAATGTATCTCAATTACTCACTGAAAATGTGAAAAATTGCCTATTTACATACTTAGTCTTTAAGGTTTTGAGCCCTTATTGCTGCACCAGCTCAACAAACTGCCTCTTCGGTGGCCCTCATGCTTTGTGAGGAACCATCCTTCCCTCAACATTGTGTGGAGTCCTCCTCTGAGGAGGAAGAAGCAGCAGAGAGAAGGTGTGATGAACTAACCACAACCCCCACTCCCCATCCCCCTGCATCACTTGGGAGGAAGGAGGAGAGAAATCAGGAGTGAAGTTGAGCCTGGGAAGAAGGGAGGGGCAGGGGAAAGGTGTTTTAAGATTTTGTTTTTATTTCTCATTATCCTACTCTGATTTGATTGGTAATAAATTAAACTAATTTCCCCAAGTTGGGTCTGTTTTTCCCGTGATGGTAATTGGTGAGTGATCTTCCTATCCTCGTCTCAACCCACAAGCTTTTAATTATATTTTTCTCCCCCTACCCAGTTGAGGAAGGGAGTGACAGACCAACTTTGGTGGGCACTGGGTGTCCAGTCAGGCTCAACCCACCACCCCTACTGAAGATGTCAGAAGGTTCCTTCCACTGCCTTCCAAGCGGTCCCGAAACAGCCTTATACTGCACAAGCACTAATCTTTATCCCTCCTCTGAGAAAAGAAAATATCACTTTTTCCACAGCTGCAAGCTTAATGAAACTCCCAGCTCCGAAACATCATAAAAGGCTGAGAATTTAGAGACCAAGAGGAAGAGAACTAAAGTGAGCAGCTACGTGCAAACATCAAGGCAGATTTAGGCTGTAGCGTTGAGCCCATCACTCTGGTTTTTCAACCTCCTTGCACATGCAGGGTTTTTAAGCCTAGAAACTACTGTGTAGTATGTAAGAAGAATTTTATTTTTATTATCATCACCATCACTATTATTGTTTTTCACCCTTAGACACAGGGAGGAAAAAGCATGGTACGAATCTGCATTAACAGCCAGGAAGCCCTTGTAGTCACGAGCAGCACTTCTTACAATGGACCTTTAAAACTAAAGTCAACAGAGTCTGTTCTGATTGTGTCATCTACAAAAGGGCTTTGTATCGGAGGCTCCTTTTTCCTCCTTATTTATTACATGCTATTCATCACCTTTCCACAGTCCTCCCCCTCAAAAGCTCCCTACTGCAAATATATACATCAGCATTTGTGTCGTAAGAATTGGAGGTGTCATGCAATAATCGTGGTGACCTGAAAATTTTTTCAACGTAACCATCACATTCAATTACAGTCTGACGCCCTAAATATCAGTGTAGGAGGTATTAAAACACACAAGGACCCTGAAGTGTTCTGGTTTTTTCATGTTCTGAATGCCCTTTGCCTTGTGTATGGAGGCACTCTCTACGTAACCTTGCATTTAACGCTCTCAATGCTCCATCTCTCATCACAAACAACCATTTTACTGTCTGAAGAATATCAAATCCCTGTAATCCTCTCATCCGTGGATTATTATTTTTTTAAATAACTTCTCCATTTGCATACAGTGACAATTTATTATTGTTGCTGGAATAGTAATCTGGGAGGCACCCAGCTATCACAGGAATTAAGTGAAGCTTTTCAAAAGGGCAGTAAGCTTGACCTACTTACCCATAAATGTGGGGAGAGATTCAGGCAATCTCCATGAACTGACAGACAAAGCAAACAAACCTATTTTTCATAAAAAATAGGGACAAAAAAAGAAAAAAAAAAAGAAAGCAAACCTGTGCTATCTCCTCCGTTTTTCTTAATTTTTCTTCCCAGGTCACGGTCATTTCCTGAATCAACTTTTCCGACTCCTCCAATCGTTCTTTTAATTCTGGTGATTTCATAGCCTGCAGAAATAAAAGCAAATAAAACAAGAAAGCTTATTGTGCTTTGTTTTTTTCCACAACGCTGTCACACAACAGATAGGGAAAAAAAGAAGCATAACTTTACTTATTTTCCAAGGCATAATTACCAGTAAGTAAAAGGTTTTTTAAAACACATATCACACATAAATGCAGAATCCATCAAAAAGTTTAATTAGTTTCAAGTACAGATGCTAAAGGGGAATTTAGATAGTTCAATGCAGACAATCACATGATACTGGCAGATTTGCACAAAGATATTCAAAAGCAAACTAAGCTCATTTCTAACCCAATATGAATATCCCAAATGATTTATGTCTAAGTCAATCTTGTTTCTTAGACACCGCTAACCTCGCTGGCCACCATCGTCTTGGCTGTCGGTCCCTCAAAATGACACAACATCTCAGTCACTTCAACTACAAGTCCACTAAAAATATTTTTATTGTTCATTTTGATATGGCCTGATGGGTGTGAGTTTGCCCAGAAAAGCTGTGGCTGCCCCATTCCTGGAGGGGTTCAAGGGCAGGTTGGAGGGGGCTTGGAGCAACCTGGTCTGGTGGGAGGTGTCCTTGCCCAGGGCAGGGGGTTGGAACTCGACAATTCTTAAGGTCCAACCCAAACTATTCTATGATTCTATGAGTTATTTTCTTTCTATAGCAAATACCAAGGCATCCGAGGTGTTCTGGTTATCCACCTCTACAGCTGCATTTTACAGAGGAAATATCAAAGAAGCCTTACGATGTGCTTCTGGACGCTGGAATTCCATCTTCTCGCTAAGCCATCACAGCTCTAACTTTGTTTTGTGAAACAGTCAAAGGCTCATGTTCCGTCCAAGGACTAACTTGAGAAACACTCCAAAAACTCATCAAGCTTTTGGATGAGGTCATCAAAGGTCATCAACATTTTTATACTACATATATTTACTTCTTCCAGTCTTCGTACTGGTATATTCCTCCTGTACTACCTTGAACAGGAAGCCTGTGGACTTCTTCATGTCATTATTTCATTACTGCTAACAAGACGAAAATGTTTTTGGCTGGCAGGTATTTATGCAATGCCAATTTAACAATGCAAGCATCGCTCCCCATCAGATATTTCCTTACCACAAAACCCCAAAATCCTCACAGGAATCCAAATCAAAGAGAGTGGCCTCATTACACTGCAGTTCGTTCAAGAAAGGGAGCAAGTGCCAGGAGTGGAAAATCCTGTTTTATGACAGGAGTTTCCTCTGCCTCGAGACACAACAGCCTCAGAACTGTCAGCTGATGTGTCCCCTGTAGTCTTTTTCTGATTGAATATCTCAAATCTAAATACAGGGTAAAAGGGAGGGCTTTGGGTAACCTGGTCTAGTGGAAGGTGTCCCTGCCAATGGTAGGTTGTTGGAACTAGATGATCTTTAAGGTCCCTTCCAACTCAAACCATTCTATGATTCTGTGAATCCCACCCAGGAAGGCAAGTGAAGCCAAGGCAATCTCCAGAACAAAGACTTATTATGGCTGAAAAAACATGATGAGCGCAAAGGCGCTGGACACTGTGGAGCAGGACAAGAAGATGAAGGCTAGTCACTTTCAAGGTCTAAGTCTTGTCAATTTATTTGGATTGGGGCAAAATTACTCAACATTTTCATATGCTTCAACTATAAAATGAGCTAAATAATTCTCCTTATCCCTACCTCGCTAATATAAACAGCAGATATAAGGGCCCAGGTTCACAGCAGAGCAGCAGTTGTGCTCCTCAGCTCAAAGCTGTAAGTCCAAATTCCCATCTTAGGAAGGACAAATGAGTTGTCTTGGAACAGACAAATTAAAACATGTGATATTAATTTTGACAAGGAAAGATAAAAATCCATGGATTAAAAAAGAAAAGGAGAAAAGAGGATAATGCCTTACTCTCCTGGCGGGGGAAAAAAAAAGTAAACTGTCAAGTTCTGTTCTGCCTTGATTGTTTAAGGAGAAAAAAGGATACTGACACCAAAAGGCAAAAAAAAACAACCCAAAGAACACGACCATAACTTGGTAACCTCTATATTTGGAAATGAGCTTTGAAAATGTAACCTGACTGTCAAAACGAGTCAATGTTTTTGGTGACTTTAAAACAATTATTTATGCACATTTCTGTAAGAACAATTAGAAAGGAACAACTAAGAACAAGGAATAAACTGAAAGGAGTACAAGACAGTGTGGGGTTTGACCTTTACTGTGCAGCTTCTTAATAGCAAACGACACCGTTTTTTTCCATGCTCTGTCAGTGCCACAGAGATGACAACTAGGGTGGGATTTTAGTACTTGGGAAAGGAAGTATTTATTACTTCATATTTAGGAAACACTACTTCATTACTTTGGAAAGCTGCCATTATTTTGGCATTAATGCTCACAATAGAAGCAAATAGGGCGTGTTTGCATCTCTCAGAGTACTGTAAAGTCTGTGGTTTGTATTTTAGAGGAATTTTTAGGTATTTAACTTGACATACCTTAAATAAATTGATATATACTTATAGGATGCTGAGCATACTAGGCAGCTTAAATGAGAACAGTCCAGAATTCACTGGTCATTTCTAATTTCACAGCCAGCATTCCCTGAATACCTCATGAGGCAAATATTGTAATCATCTTTTTTTTGAATTGTGAAACAGACGGATTATATCACTGTTATTTTGTCCCATTTGAGATCAGAACTCAGAATGACACTATGTCTAGGCCTTCATCTAACATTTAGACCATGCTCCTTGCACAATTCCGTTGAGGTAGCTATGCAGATACTCTACATGTTAACTGTTGAGAACACTTACAGCTTGTAAGCAAAGCATTATTTAATTGAATTCACATCTTACAGGATGTAGCCACACTGAATTCTTAAAATACACTGGCAAAGCTCTGCCTATAAACTGCACAATCTTCAGACTCCACCCCTATTCCTGCTCCATGTCCTCTTGCTTGTGATCTGTATCTCACAATGTTTTTGTGAGATACAATCTCACAAATCTCACGATGAGATTGCTCAACGAGGTGTTCGAACAGCATCTGGCATCTCATGTTATCACCTGTGTTTCAAGACTGATACACAGAAAAATGTAAAGAAGTGATATAAAGGGAGATTTCACCTAGATACCCACGTAGTAATTCTTTGTGGCATTCATTTCTGAGAGCCAGAAAGAGAATCTCACAAATCTCACGATGAGATTGCTCAACGAGGTGTTCGAACAGCATCTGGCATCTCATGTTATCACCTGTGTTTCAAGACTGATACACAGAAAAATGTAAAGAAGTGATATAAAGGGAGATTTCACCTAGATACCCACGTAGTAATTCTTTGTGGCATTCATTTCTGAGAGCCAGAAAGAAAGAAAGTCCTGACAACGGGGTTTACAGGACCTATTGGCTTAATCCAGACTTTAAATTTCTACCTCTGCTTTTGTGAGCTGTTCCCGCAGCTTCTCCACTTCCTCCCGGAGCTCCCGAATGATGCGAGCGTTGGGGTCTTCGTTGACCACCGCGTGGTTAACGATGTTCTTGGCCCGGTCTGCGTACCTCAGCGTTGAAAGGGTCTCATCATAGTTATCTGCTGCTGGGCTCACCGTTGCTACCATGGCGGTCTTGCTGTTACCACCAAGGCTATCCTGGAAAGTGGTAGAGATTACAAAATTAGAACAGAAGGTATCTTCCCTCTTACCCAGTCAATGAACTTAGGCAGCAAATAATAACCAAGGGCTGGGAGTAGATGGGGGCAAACTAGTAACAGAAACATTTTTGTCAGAGCTTCTCCATTCAAAATTAGTATTTTCGGCTGTGTAAATCTAGGAAAGTTGATATTTTCAATATATTTTTTAGGAAATGCCATTCTTGGCTTTCAGAATAATTTTTCGTTTAAACAGGAATTAAAAGAGTCCATTTGGGGGTTTTATGGTGCCTAGTAAGGGCTTAAAAGGTTTAATTCTATGTTTACTACTTAGATTTATAAACCATAAATGTAAGCACTTCAGCATTAGACTTCCCAGGTACTATCAAAGGAGCCCAGGAAAGATCATGATGAATTCAGAATACCTTGTTTTAAAGACTGCAAGTGAGATGTCTCCAATAAGTACTTAAATTACTTAAAGATCATACATAAACAATATGGTTGATTTCATCCCTATAAACATTTCAGAATGAGGCTCGTCCCTTCCCCCTCCTGACACAGCTCACAAATCTACATCGAGTTATGTAAGAAATTACCCTTTTGGAATTTGGTTGACAGAGAAGAAGGGTGTGAAACCACATTCCTGCAAGGCAGCGTGTCGGGGGAGTGGGGGAAGGAAGGAAGGAAGAAGGGGCAGTGTTCAATCTTTTTATTGATTGCAAAATTGTGGCTTACATTTTTGGCCAGTCTAAAAGATAAAACATTCTGGTTTCAATTTTGCAGCAAATCTTTCTGGTTTGTTTGGGGTGGTGAGGGTTTTCTGGGTTTTGTTTTGGTTTTTTTTTATTATTTTTTATTTTTTTACCCAATATCCCTTTCTGAGATGAACCATGCTATTAACTTTCATCTTCAATAACCCATGAAATCTAGGTCAGGCATTGCCATTAGAACAATCTGACTACATTAGCTGCTTGTCTAACCATTTCAATTACACAGCGCACACGTAGCTTTCCCTAGCAATCATTAAAACGCCCCTGTAAGTATTTCCTTAAGACTCTCTTTTTTTTGCCCCGTGATGCCTAAGATAATTTGACAGCAGCCTGGCTGCTCCAGCGGGCAGACACGCACTGACCACACAGACCGATGCTGCTGCTCTGGTAGCTCTCTGCTGCCTCTGGTCACGCAAAAGGGCTGATGGCTCTTTGGGCTGAGATTATAATTTCATTTGTATAAAGCACAGAATGGTTCGGGTTGGAAGGGACCTTAAGGATCATGCAGTTCCAACCCCCCTGCCCTGGGCAGGGACACCTCCCACCACACCAGGTTGCTCCAAGCCCCCTCCAACCTGCCCTTGAACCCCTCCAGGGATGGGGCAGCCACAGTTGCTCTGGGCAACCTGGGCCAGGCTCTCACCACCCTCCCACCAAACAAATTCTTCCCCACAGCTCAGCTCCATCTCCCCTCTTTCACTGTCCAACCCTTCCCCCTCCTCCTAGGGCTCCCCTCCCTCATCCAGTGTCCCTCCCCAGCTTTCCTGGAGCCCCCCTTCTTGAGGGACTGGAAGGGGCTCCAAGGTCTCCCCGGAGCCTTCTCTTCTCCAGGCTGAACCCCCCAACTCTCTCAGCCCCCCCCCCCAGCAGAGGGGCTCCAGCCCTCCCAGCATCTCCGGGGCCTCCTCTGGCCCCATCCAACAGCTCCATGTCCTTCTGAAGACTCCAAAGCTGGAGGCAGCACTCCAGGTGGGGGCTCATAGTGCTCAGCACAGTGAGGTACACCAGCACGGTTAGCATTGCAGGTTAGAGTATTTATAGAGAATTCAACTGAAAATAACAGCCTTCTGACTGCCACCAGCGTGAGGTTTTTCCTCATCTGAGGAGCAGCCAATGTTTACTCCAACAAATACATGGCTTGGGAGGATCCACTCTGTAACATACAGATGTTTTTCCAAAGCATTTATTGAAAACTTTAAAAAGACTAACAGGAGCACGTGGCTCCTTCAATGGGATTTCTGGCTCTACAGAAGCCAGGACTTTTCTTCAATCCGTCAACAGTTTTCAAAAATTAGGAATGACACTCTAACTACAATCCCTGTTGTGCATAAAAAGATGAATTTCTCAGGGTGCTGGCCAGGTACTCCAATTCCAAATCCAACCTCAGCAGTTTGCACTTTGGGAACCTCCTTCGCCGCACTAATTAGTTCCAAAATAGGATTAATTCATTATTTGAATTGCAACTCTGCTGTACAGGCAGCTGAGAAGGCTGCTAGAGTGATACACTGTAATTCACAATACACCCATTGTAATTGGGTGAAGTTTCTCTTGGGTTGTAGCTATTATTCAGGCCCGATGCCAGACTGTCCGATAAAGTTTTATGTCTAAAACCGTTGGGCTGATTTCACTGGTTTCTTTAATGTTAAGCAAGAAAACCAGATAAATAGTAAGCCAGTCTCTCGTTAGTGAAGACAGCGTCTGCAAATTACCCTGGAAAGGCTGGGCTTGCATGTGATAGACACACACAGAGTGGAAATAAATAAGTTTAGTTATTTCTAATACTAAACTAGCACAGTCTTCTCTAGTACCAAGATTACTGTGATTACTTACAATGTAGATTCGTAATTCTGGTTTTTTAAGTAGCCATTAGTAAAACATACAGGGCTTCTGATTAAAATGGGAAAATGAGATCTTTAAAATCAATAGAATCAGATAAAACCAAGAGGCAAAAGCGTTGGTAAGGAATTTTCCTTCCCACACAACATGTCATCACTCCTCAAGCCTCCTCTTGCAAAAATATTTTTCACCTGGCACTTTTTGTCTAAAGAGCCTCAACAAAATCAAACACAAACTGGTAGATCTTGAAGTCTCCTGAACTCTCCTGGTTTCTCAGGTTTGTGGAGAGACTCTATACGACAGACAGTCCTAGTGTCAGAACACATGTACTCCACCTTGGCATCATAATTTTCTAGTTGAAAGCTAGAGAGTAAGATAACCCACCAGCTCATGGCTTCTACAAGCAGGCCCCTATAAATGAATAAACCCCTTCCTTTGATCTTTAATTATAAAAAAAAAAAAAGGTTTAAATTTTCCCTTTTCAAAATAAAGCTTCTCTTCAATGAGAGCTTGTTTGTAAAAACTCCGAAAAGCCCCAAATCTTTTGTTGGCGCTTAACAGGGCTGGACGTCAGAGGCACAAAGAAGGTTTTCCTGAAAGAAGGCAGAACAAAAGTGGGACTTCTCTTTGGGAGGGGAGGCATGTGCTGTGTAACGGCCGTCGTCGTCGCGGCCACAATGCGTCAGACAGGTGCTGAACAGGAATCGCTGCCCGCCTGAAGAATTTGTTTAGAAATAGAACTGCAGAACAAATTCTAACACCAGGGCTAGAAATCTGTTAGGATTAGAAATCCCACTCCGCTCATGGGGATTCTTGCAGCCCCATCAGGAACCTGGGCACACGTGTCACGGGAGCAAAGTGAACCTTTTGGGTCCAGTCCCATCTTTAGAGAGCCAAAAAAGCACTCGTTTAATTAAAAACTCAGTGTAAATACACCGAGGCACGTATATATTTAAACACTAAGAAAGTCTTAGGGCAAGGAACGCTGTGAGATGAGGATTTGTTTTACTGCAGAAAAGCACAGACACTATTTCTGCTACACCATTCTGATTTCTCTCTAGCCCTCCCAACCGTACTATTTGATGTCCAGCATCTGTGATGTTTACACTGGGGAGAAGACATAAATGGTTTCACAGTAGCCATGCTGAAAGGCTCATCGAAAGACAGCATTGAGAAAAATAAAAGAAAAGGCTTGTGGTGTCAAGAGGTTACAAGAGCAGAGATTTTATTTTACTGAAGTATTGAAGTCAACTTTGGTTTCAGATCTCCTTCAGGAAAACACCCTTTTTAATTTCCACACCTCTGTATAACCTGCAAGTAACTTGTTCTTTGTCTTCCCACGTGTGCAGTTAAATCACAGGGATGCCAAATTCAAACAACATTTAAAAACATTGCTAAGAATGGGTGGGGAAGTAAAGCAGAGTATCCGAGACAACAAAATCCAGCCAGAGCACCTACAGAAGTAAGAGGACAAAGAAAGGCTGGTGGTGCTAAAAATCTGTTTTTCCCTCGATTATATCTTTCTACTAACAAGTATTTCAGTTTCTCCTTGATAATAATCAAACAAAGTGCAAGGAAAAAAGGAAACCTGGTTAGTATTTCTATGAGATGTGGTTACCAAGCATTCTGGCAATCAAATGATGAAAAAGAAAGATTTTAACAAAATGACGGGTTACAAAAATGAAACCTGAGTCAGGTACCAATGTATGACACCTTAGTCAATAATCTTTCAAAATTCAAGTCAAGCAAGACTGCTCAAGCTGTAGCAGGCAAGTTAAGAAAGACAAGGCACCTTTAACCAGCAGGCAAGATGTGGCTACATTTGTGTTTGCCACTTATTCAGAGAACGGGAAAAGTCCAGATGATGACTGTACCTAAACCCAAACTTTATGGCCACTGTAGGTAGGAAGTGGGAAGAACAAGACGACCAGAAGCTTGCCTTTTAATTAAACTCATATTTAACATTTTGTTTTTTTTCATTTAGACCTTATAGACCTTCATCCGTGTGCCATCACAGCACGCTCTAAGAAAGACAAGGCACCTTTAACCAGCAGGCAAGATGTGGCTACATTTGTGTTTGCCACTTTTTCAGAGAACGGGAAAAGTCCAGATGATGACTGTACCTAAACCCAAACTTTACGGCCACTGTAGGTAGGAAGTGGGAAGAACAACAAGACCAGAAGCTTGCCTTTTAATAAAACTCGTATTTAACATTTTGGTTTTTTCATTTAGACCTTACAGACCTTCATCCAAGTGCCATCACGGCACACTCTTTTTTTCCCCCCTGAAGAACACCAAATGGAGCCCTGTGCAGTACAGACAATGATTTTACTGCTTATTTCACTTGAATAGGGAGTACAGAGTCTTCTGACCTGTCCCTCCCACTGTAAGTGGGAAGAACAAGACGACCAGAAGCTTGCCTTTTAATTAAACTCATATTTAACATTTTGTTTTTTTTCATTTAGACCTTATAGACCTTCATCCGTGTGCCATCACAGCACGCTCTTTTTTCCCCCCTGAAGAACACCAAATGGAGCCCTGTGCAGTACAGACAATGATTTTACTGCTTATTTCACATGAATAGGAAGTACAGAGTCTTCTGACCTGTCCGTCCCACTGTAACTGGGACAATGCTCTGCAATTATACTCTGATGACAAAAGCAGAATATATTAACAAGTATATTAGACAATAAGTAAAAGCTAATAGTCCTGATCAAAATCTTCACAGCTAACCAGGCCAGGATGTAAAATTCAGTTGCATGCGGCTATAGCCCAGATTTCATTAGCCCCAACGTTGTGTGTGATGCTGTATGTAAACTCACCCATAAAAGACTGTTTTTTAAGATGCTGTATGTAAACTCACCCATAAAAGACAGTGTTTTTTTTAAAAATTCCTTATTTTTTAGGCCACTACTGGTCAGCAGAAGACGGATCATATTTAGAGATACTAATGGCTTAACATCCAGCTAATTTTCCAAAGACCATTATGGTTAACATCAAAACCAGAAAACAAGTCAAAAGAACAGCATTTTATTCCATTGAAAGGGACTCTTCTCCCCTTTTCCTCCCTTTTATTTCTCTTTAAAAAACAACGAGATCAGAGTACTTACTTTAAGTAACCAAGTCAGCACAGAATCACGATAAGGAACAAATTTGTTCTTGTTCTTGCCAGCAGCCTGATCTGCCAGTGCAGAAATAACCAGCCCAAGAGTTGTAAGAGATCTGCACAGAGAATACAAGAAGTGTAAATATTCATAAGTCAAACGCATATTTAGACAGTCACTTTTTCTCCAAAAATGAGCTCCGAGAAGAAAGTTCCCAGTACAGTTTTGATCATTCTTTTCTCACAAAAGCTCTACTCCTCATTTTCAGGACGTGTTTTCAGCCTTAATAATCATGTCTTCACAATGCAATCATGTGGCAATTTGCAGGAACACAAGTACAGAACAAAAAACCCCAATAATTTTAAATAGGCAGAGATCTCATTCAAACACCTAAGAGTATTGTACGTCTGAAGGAAAAGTAGAGAAAAGGGAAGAAGAAAACCAGCTATAAGAGCTTATACTGATTTTATCCTATTTTATGAGTGTACTGCATTTAGCTGTCATGATTTTACTGATGAAAAGAAGGAAAAGAAATAGTCACTGAGTCTTACTTGTTAATGTTGCTCCCTTCTTTCAGCCTGTCTCCTGCAGCACCAGTCTTAGTTGCCCTTTCACTACCTGCTAAGTCCACCAGACTCAGTTTGCCCACCTTCTCACCCGAGGTCTGCAGAAGGAACCAGAGAACATCTACTGTTAGTTCACTCTAATTAAGTGACAGAGTTTGACACATTTTCAAACAAGAATCAAGCTTCATTTCTCGGTGTAGCCCCTCTAACAGCTTTGAAAATCATTGTACTTGAACAATATTCTGTGATAACTCGCTAGTTGCTGCTCAAGAAACAACAGGAGGATTTAAAGTGACATAAGATACTCTCAGAAATCTCCAGAGGAGAAAAACACGGGGCACGTTAGTCAAATGTTAAAGCAAGAACATATGCAGACTTAGCACAGGCCAAGGAGTCACAAAGACAGACAGAAGCTCTGCCTTTGTTTTATCACCTTGAAAACAGTCTCCAAAAAGTCTCAGGCTTTATACCAGGTTTCCATTCCGTTTTTTAGAAAGTGAGAATAAACATGGCAAGAAGCACTTGTGAATACGATTACAATCGCAAGGTCTCCTATATCCTAATTCTTCCTGGAATCCAAGCTGTGTGAGTATTTCAATCCTGTAACACAGACTTTGTTATAAACCCTTTCGTCATATTTGACCTGAAATGACATTCTGAAACACTCCATGAATTTCCTATATCAATTTGAAGCTGAAGAGCTAACGCTGTCTTTGAGAACGGTTTGCTTACATCATGCTTTTCTGCAGCATCTATGACTTTAGAATCTCAGTATCACAGTTGCAAAGTGCTACGTTCCCCTAAATGAATGGGTTAATTAGATATGCTTTCATATCAAATCAATATGCTTTCAAAAATGTTACTCTAAGCCTCTCAAAGCATAGTGTGATCATCAAGCCATACAGAAATGTGTCATCACCAGGACTGAAAGGACCAGCAGATGGGAAAACAGAGAAATCTGTGCCAGAAACTCACACAGTGGTCACTGGAAGATGCAGGAAAGACACTCAAAACTACCTCCTTGCATCCAGGCTCACCATGACCACACAAAAAATGTGTATGGTAAGTATGTGCCACAGCAAAAACTGAACGACAAACTGCGGCAAATCAAGGCGTTTAGCA